ACAAAAACTTATCAGACATTCAAATTGATGCCTACCAACCTGGATGGAGGATTTGCATACGTGGAGTGATCCAAGTACACGTCAGAAATCATTTCCCCGCCACCTGAAAGAAAATACATGGAAATGATAGTGAATAAATTATTATGTTATGTGGCTAAAATACGCATGTACTACAAGTAACAGTAACAGATGCTATAATAATAAAATCAGTCACAGAAGAGTATTGGCAACTGGTTTCTACTTTCTAACCAGTCGCAATTTGCAGTAGCAAAAATTAGCCTTTTCATGCATTATAAAACCTGTCTCTATGAAAAGCTAGTGCAGAAAAGATAAAATTACTTTGTCAAAGAAGCAACAAGTTTTACCTAAGAAAGGAGGCATTGAATATAGAAGCTCCTCTTTGCCATACAGGAATCCCACTCCTGTAGGACCACACATCTGAAGCATTGTTCATTCCTTGACTTCGAACACCAGCTCATACTATTTGTTCAAGAATAACTAAAGGAAGAACCTAACCTTATGAGACGAAGCAACAAGAAAATCAGCACCAAGGCTCTGTACATCAACTGCCATGTGTGGGACACTCTGACAAGCATCAACCAAAACTTTTGCCCCAACAGCATGAGCCGAGTGCACTATATCGTGAATTGGTAGAGTAGAGGCTACACAAAGAATCATTTAAGAGATGAGATTTCAGGAAGTGTCTGGGAAAGAATATTCTAAACAACAAACAAAATTCTCATAGTTTATTTTAAAAGCATCACTTGTGATACACTTCACAAGATAACATTTTTCTTGACAGCACACTCAATTTCAAGAAACACAACTCGGATTAAAAAACCATCAACCCAAAAATCAGCCCTACCAAGTACATTGGAGACATGATGAACAACAACCAATTTTGTCTTTCTTGATAGCATATCCAGCAATGCACCGGTATCAGGAACTTCATCTTTGGTCAAACTGACAAATTTCAATTGGGCACCAGTTTTCTGAGCCACCAGTTGCCAGGGAACAATAGCACTATGGTGTTCAGCAACAGTGAGGATGATCTGCATGCATTCAATGTCAAGCAGCAATATAGCAGATAACATACTTGGGAAGATTTTTCAGTGGGTAAAAGGAAACAGATTTTTCAATTTTGCAGTTACTTAGCTAAATGCAAAGAGTTAAAGGCAATATATAATTCCTCCAGAATCCAAAAAAAAAGAAAAAGGCTTGGACAGAGTTGTTTCCAAGCCTACAACTCTTACGCTTTGTTTGGATAGCAAAGAAGGAAGGAAAGGAAGGGGAGGGGAAAAGGAGGAAGGGAAGGGAAAAGAAATGGGTGGGGAGGTGAGCTCCATTTTCCCTTCAAATCTCTCCAATTTTGGAGGGATTATGCTTATTAAAGAGAGAGGGAAAATGGATCCCTCCCTCTCCTTCCCCTTCCTTCCCCCAATCCTTTACCCAAACAAGAGAATTTGTCCCCCTCCCTTTCTCTTCTCTTCTTTTCCTTTCATTTCTTTCTATCCAAACAAAGTGTTAAGGAAATTACGGATATGTAAATGAAAAAATATGAACCAAAAAGGACAATAACTATGAAGCATAAAGACGTCAATTGGCCTAGAATTTGTTATCTCGAGGACTTGACCACAATTTTAGTAGCAAGAATTTCAATTAGCTCTATAACACATCTTTAATATTAGATAGTATTGGCAATGATAATCAAAGACTCCACAGAATTCTTCTGTTTGTTGACTGCTTCAATATCTTAATGCCTGCAATCAATTCTATAAGATATAGGGACCAAGTGGAACTAGATTTAATTTCAAGAGGCCAACCTCTCCAATTAAGTTTTGAACATATTTAATAAGCACATTATTCCTGTCATACCCCAATATCAAGAAGACAAGAAGCTTATTCAGAAGTAAAAGCTCCAATTTCCAACTCTATCCGAAAAATTGGGCTTCTGCATAAGGAAATGCTCTTTCCCAAGCTTGGCCTACTTCAAGAAAGCTCTGACCAAATGCTGTTCTGTTCAGGTATTCCAGCTAAGGTATTGTTAAGCTAGACTTCGTGGTTTAACGGACAACCAACTATAGTCCAGCCAGCTAGTATTCTAAACAATCATAGTCTAGCTTTGCTATTGATACTTTAGCAAAATACAAGTGCAGTGCCTAACTTAAGTGTGTACAAGTGCGTCCGTTTCCAGTAATGAATTGATTGTCATTTTTCTTATATCTCAAATAAAAGGGTAACATGAAGCAGTTTTTTCATTGAAGTCATAATCCAGCTTTGTCATTTATTGAAGCATATTCCCATAATGATGCTTCTGACATTTTAGGAGCTTGAAATATAACAGAAAAGGAAACTAGTATAACAAGAACAAACCTCATCTCCTGCTTCCAAATTTGAGAGGCCCCAAGAATTAGCCACTAAATTAATTGCTTCAGTAGCATTCCTTGTAAATACAATTTCGCCAGACTCTTTGGCATTAATGAACGTGGCAACCTTTCTCCTTGCTAACTCATATTCATCAGTTGCTTTGGCACTGAAATTTAGTTTACAAAAGTTTCATCAGAACAAGAAACACATATGACAATTCAAATGACTTAAGTTACAAAACCTCAAGAAGTGTATTCCTCTGTGCACGTTTGCATTGTAAGCTTCATAGTAGTTTTTCAAAGCCTCTATTACAGCAGCTGGCTTCTGAGAAGTTGCACCGTTGTCCAAGTAGACAAGTTTATGGCCATTTACTTCCTGCAGCATAAAGTATTACTCTCAGATCACAGACTTTCCAATCACAGCTGAAAACTGAAAAGATCCAACAGCACCACAGTATCTTTATGTGATGGTATATAAATGGTAAATCCCACTAAACCAACAAGAACTGCCCCAAAATATCACCCCCAAAGATCAAGATGTGAAAGCAAATGTCACCATACACACGCCAATAAATCAAACTCTTTATATTAATGTCAGATACTAGCAGCAGCTAGCTAGTCCATGATTGTTTGTTTGTTACTACATTTCCTGCTCAATCAATTATTCTGTACCATGTAAACCTCCAGAATAACCTTACCACAAAAGGATAAATGCCCCATAATCCCTCAGTCCCTTCGTCCCTAGATAATTGCCACATTTCACTTCAAAATCTTATCCTTATTTAAAAGTCTCAATTTGCCACTATATATCATTATTCACCTTTAATTAACCGACCCCACTATCTATTTTTCTTTCACCTCTCCTAAATACACGTGCATTGAGCGAATGAAACTTATATATAAGAATGGAAGGAGTATTACTATTAATAGCCCCTTTAGGCATCAAATTGAAACTTTATAACACTAGTCCTGAGCAAACCAAGCCAGGCACTAATCCAATACAAGTATGTTATATGTGGGTGTTGAAAATAGCAAAACGTTTTATGTGTACCAAAATCATAAACTTTCTAGGTTTTTTACTGAATTGAAGCTGCTTTCAAGATTGAAGGCAAATTCAATAAATAAAAGTTCCAGAAATATCCTACTGAATAACTAATAAAGTGCTAATTAAGTACATATACTATCAAAATTTAGCAATAATGATTTCAGAGTACCAATACTCCCAAAATATTATTGCGGTATGTAAATGTCAACTAGTTTGGTTGGAGACGGTACCCAAGACCGAGCAACAAATCCCGTCTATATCATTGCCCTTTGTGACTTCCTAAACACTTACTAAGTTACAAGAAAAGATTATTGTTTCCATCAATTACAACCATGGTCAATGCGAGCAAAAACAGCTAAACAAGAATAACCCATTATTACCAAATTCATCCTGATAAAGACGCAACTTAAATCAAATAACCCAGAAATCAATTCACAAACAAAAAAAAAATTGAAAATTTTCCCAAAATGAATCATCATACTTGTTATTACAATAGCCAAAAAAGGGAAGTGAGCAAAATAAACCTGATGAAGGATAGGGAAATCGGGTCGGGTGAGGTGCCCAAGTGAAACGGATTCATTCTCCAATGAAATTGAAGCTGAAGTTGAAAGGCAACGACATGAAGAAGCAAATGATGGGTATTTGCAAGAACGAAGTGGTACAAATGAGTTGAACTTGTTGTGAAAAATTGAGGGGTTCATTGTTAAACCTTTCATAACCATGTTTGTGAGTCCTTTGAATCATCTAAATACAAGACAGCAAGACTGGGCTATAAGATTGTCACTTGCCGTCTTACCGAGTTACCGACTAGCAGATGTCTTCACGATACAATACTTTAACCAATTAAGCTGGTTAAATTTATCTTAATTTCAATTTAAGCTTGTATTTAATGTAACATAAAGTGCTAATCACAAGATTTGAAAGGCCACATTGTGATGTCCGTTCTTTTTATATCTTGGGTGTAGGAGTACTTGGAGTTTTCCTAATTGAATGTTGTAATTCGAAGAACTAAATTTCAAGTAATTTTAATAGGAATAGCACATGATCTCATCTTAAAATTAGTCTAATTTCTCTTGTTTAAATGTGTTATTTTTAACTCATCTATATCTTTTACTATTAATACTTGATAAGATTTATGAAAACGTTTTGGAAGATACGAAGTATATTAAAAACAAATACTAGTAACAAATCAATCAACAATTGAACTAAGCAAATACTTCGTATAAAGTCCTGTCAAAAATAAAAAAAATAAAATTGTATAAAGCTATAAATTATTATTTCCAATTGACTGTAATGTAATGGAATTGATTAATTTTTCGAACATTACCATCAAAAAAAAAAAAAAAAAAAAAAAAAAAAAAAAAAAAAACCATCAAGACTTTAACCAATTAAATTTTAAAATTGATATTTACCTTTATTTTTTCCACATAACTAATTTCTATCACCAAGGCTCACGAATTTTTCTCTTTTTTATTTTTTCGGTATGATTCAATGATTTAACCCTGTGATCATTATGATATTAATCACTATTTGCTGCGAAGAACTACTCACTGAATGCGGCCTCATGGACCATTGTTAAAGAGCTTCAATCACTGCAAACTTTCCATATTTGAAATATCTGGGGAAAAAAAACTTTTTCATGATTTGTAACGGGTAAATTTTACAATCCAGAGGGAATAAGCCTAAAATGTCAGCCTCAACTAAAAAGAAACCAGATCATAGGATCAGACAATGTAAGTGGCAGTAATGGTCATTATAGACGGGGAAGTAATACATTATAAATACCGTATATTTTTTTTCTATACAGTATATATTTCGTAAATCAGTGACCTGAGACAAAAATGTGATGAACCCCCAAACATGTAATATGACCAAAAACAATTCTATTTAAGTTTAGAACTATGAGCAAAAACATCCGCATCTATATTTTAGATGACATATGATGCGAATACTGGGGGATGTAACTGTATGATTAGAAATGGCCGAATCTACTACTTCAATGAAGGAAGCAAGCAGTCGTAAACTCGTTCCATGCGTGAAGTGATAGTCAATTTGTGGGTAGTTTGAAGGTCTGGCTTTGCCAAATCAATGATATCCTGTCTCAAGCTGCAAAAACGTTATTCAGCTGTTAGTCAATAGTATAGTATAAAATACCTTGCATAGTTGCATGAAAGAAATTACCAGTTTTCTTCCCTGTCCACAAAAGCTGGCAGTGAGCCCTGAACTCCAGGCAGGCAAAGCTCATGGTATGACCTACCATTATGTGCAATGCCTGCCATTTCAAGGGATTGGTCCATAGAATGGCCCAGGGGCTATCAATCACGCCTCAAGCCGTACCATGCCAAACTCAGAAAATGTGACCCAGGCAAGGACCATCGGTACTGCCAGCTTTACCAGGTAGTCCGTACATGGATGCAACATCTTGATTTATGCATGGATGAAAAGATTGAAAACTGAACTGAAAGGTACAAAGTACCAAGGAACTAACCATGACCATTCTCCAGTCATCTTTGCATGTCTCTCTACTGCACGATATAGACGATCTAAAGTATATAACACCAAGCCGAAGCTGTATCGTGCATCTTGTGCCTGCAGAAAATGCCACGCTCAACTTTTCTCTAACGAACTGAAAAGATCTAAATGAAGCTTGCATACACCAGCATAGGTATTCAGATAAAAAGCAAGAATGGACTCAGAAATTGCTGTGTTAATTATGTTGTTCTCTCGTACCTCCAAGTTTTTTGCTTTATAATGCATCAAAACTAGAAAAGTTTCTCTTATTGTGCACATAAAGGACTTAAATTAAATTATTCATCATTTTTTGTTGTTGTAAGGTTCACCACTCACAACAATTACAGTGCTTCTTCAGCAAAACTTAGTCTTGGGATGCTTTATAATCCAACAGCATAGGCAAAAACTGATCACCACGTGTTCTTAATTTGAATTTATTGAATGAAAATAAAATTCTCTGCATAAATTTACGTGTTTTTAATGTCTTGTACATTTCAATCTCTCTTTTCAATGGGGAATGACTAAGTGAGGATTGAACAGAGAAAAGACAGAATAATGCGGAGAAATTACAGACAAAGGGCATAGCACTGAAAACAGAAGAAAGAAGGTACAGAGTGGTTAATATAGGGAAGGAAGTCCAATCGAGACATTTTCAAATAAAGCTCCTTTTGTGTCACTGGCTAGTCACTTCCTTGCAGCATTCACTATTATTAGGCACATATAAGCATGCGAAATAACCATGTATAATACTGGGGATTCACTAGCATATATAGAAGTTTATTGTCTACACTAGGGGATGTGTATGATACGATTAGCAATTTGTATACGTAGTATTAAAGAATTTCCAGTCTATATGTGATCTATACATAAAAGAGGTATTTGCAGCAGCAAAGAATCTTAAAGTACGATGTATCTATCATTTTCTAAACAAACACATGTAATTTAGGCATATTACCTCCAAAATATATTGAAGTTATAACTTTTAAAAGCAGAAACTCAGACATGCAGTGTGTTTTAAGCCAATCAACTGATGATACCTGTCCCAGTTCCATACAAGACTGATAATGCATGATTTTTTTCTCAATCTCCACGATGAGCAGCCTCCTCTGACGACGAGCAAGTCTGCCCCTTCCTTCTGCTCCCTTGTCCTAATATAACACAAGTAAACAGCATACTTGAGCAAAGAAAATAATTCTAGCAGCACGAACACCTACTTAGATATAAAAATGGATATAATCAGATCAAGAGTGTCAAAATGGTTCAGCAAACCTAGCCAATTAGGTTCAAACATCTTAGGTCAGTACAAATCATCTAAAGAAGAAGGGATCGGTTGTTATGGAATTGGCCTCTTGAATCAATGGTAAATCTCAATACGCATTAAATAAGCATGTAATATAGACCCAAGTCTAAGAAAACAATCGATGAAATAGGGACAGTCAAGCATGTATGCAAACCTGATGTGAAAAAACACCCTCAACTTCAACCTTACCCACAAGATGAAAACCAAGACAGAATTACAGCCCACTACCATGTTTGCAGAGCATACCCATACCTTTACCTACATAAATGCAACTGGCAAGCACCCTAACCAAGCTGCATACACAAATCCACGGAGCAGGAAGGACCTGAAGGGGTGCTTTTTTATGGGAATTTTGTAGTTATAAGAAATTACTTTGAATCACAAAACCCAAGCTGGAAAAGGCAATTTCGCAAAAGAGAACTTAGAGATGAAAATCAGTTCTTGTTCCACAGAGGTTGTCTATAACTCTATAAGAATATAGAACTTTTAAGAGTAGAATAGAGGCGAGAGAAAGAAGGGAGCGCATTAAGTACTAGAGGAGGGTATTACTAAGCCCGGTTCTAGACTCTTAAGGAATCATTCAGTAAAGGATTAAAATTCAATATCATGCAAGCTAACACAGTGCAAAATGAACATAATTAAAACAAAAGGTGTCAAGGAATAAATTACCTGTGTAACCCAAGAACGCACCAACATGATTGAAAGGAGAATAAGAGCAAAAGCAGGTAACGCAGCTAAAATGGCAAAGTTGATTTCATTTGCCTTAAGAATCTGGTTCAATTCCAGCATTGCCCTATCAATAGTAGATTATCAGCGGAAACAAGATTAGTCTCCTTGACCCCTTGGATTATAGCAGACCACATGATTGCAAAAAAGATTATACTTACGTCTCAATATCTAATTTCAGCTTTTGAACCTGCAAGAGAGCATCAAGTCTGAATTAAGAGCTTGATAATAAAAGTGAAGATGACATCTTTTCTTCTATAGAAATTTCACTAAGATAATATAAATAGATAATATTTAACCTGGATGAGCATAGCACGAGGAAGCTCTCCACCAAAAGCACTTTTAAGGGGATGCACCATCTCCTTCTCATATCTGCATCAGATATCAGCGTCATTATCACTTACAGACAAGAAAGCCCATCCAAAAATCAACTACCGAGAAATACGCATTTTCGGAATAAGGCTCTGCAACTACATAAACAATAATAACACAATTCTTTATCTAGTATGCTGTTAGCCAGATCTACTTCTAGAAAAATAGAGTGATCTGAAATTCACATAGAACCCATGAAAGAATAATGAAGGTGAGAAAACAATCAATAGCTGATGATAAATAGGCTTGTCAACATCCTCAATAACTGAAACTAACCACCCAATCCCCCCACACATAGATCCATCAATATTTGTAAACTATACCAAGTTAATGACTGTCTGAGGAGTATAATTTGCTTCTGATTTCTTGAATAAGGCAGCAACGGCTAAAGTCCTGACTTCAAACCAAATGAAAGCAGCTAGCTGATTCTTCATACTCAGGCTTTAATTAACCAGTAAATCATTTTTTGTTTTAGTGCAAGCCCTAGACAGCTCAAAATGCGCTTCCTCTCAGTTTATGCACTGACCATTGATTTATTTCAACCCAGAAGTAATGCAATCTTACTTTAGTTTTTAGAGCATAGATGTATCCACTATAACATCCTCATTTCATCCAAATCAGGTACATCAATAACGAAGAATAAGGATTGTTTCTGCCTATCGATTTTCATTGCTACACTTCCAAAAAAGAAGCACCATTTATTACTGATTCAATTAAATTTTCTTATGGTCTCAGTTCAAAAATACAATTGCAAATTTAACAGTGGAAAAACGTACCTCGCCATAACTATCTGAAGAAGCTCCAGATCTGTAGCATTCTCTGGGAAATTCTGGCCATTTGCCTGCTCACAGAAAGCCACCAACATTCTGTTCAGCACATAAAAAAAAAAAAAAAAAAAAAAAAAAAAAAAAAAAAAAAAAAACATGAAAGAAGCCAAACCAGCTTGTAAATAGAGAATTTAGAAAGATAAAACCGTTAAACAGACAATAAGGAATTCAATTTCTAACCAGAATGTCATACTTTATGCTTTGACAACAAAGTGAATAAAAATTTGATTTGCAAAAGGTTCTCATATAAAAAAAAATCATAAAAACACAAGTAAAATTCAAGGGAAGATCTTGAAGAATACAAGTCATATACCTGGTTCCATGTTTTATAAGCCACTACAGCTTTCTAAAACAGGTAAAATAGTCACTTTAAAGACCAAGTGCAACAATTCATTCGCCAACAAATTTGTCCAACATCACCTATTAAGGCTAAGATGAGTGGTTACTAATTAAGCAGTTAAATACTTCACCATCCTTTAAAATATAGATTAATGAGCAATGTAATACACAGAATCAATATGGGGTGGATGAATTGGAGAAGCGCTTAGGAGTCTTATGTATTAGGATTACTTAGAACCATTCAGAAATTCATAGAGCTAGTACATAATGGACATTATAAGGGTCTGGTTCCAATTCCAATTAAACAGCAATCTCATAAAGTGACTATAAATTAAATTCTAATCTTTAGCATCTTGTCATCTGTGAAACAATAAGTAAAAAGAATTCAGAAAATTTGTCAAAAAAACAAAGACCTTTATATACTTAAAAATTCTGAGATAACATCTTTCATTTTTTTGGGGTGATTAAGTACCTTTGACAAATCTTTATTAGCATTGGCACCTTATGGTCAGAAAAGTGGCCAAAAAGTCAGATATCTGGTACTCAAGAAAGTAGTAGGTTGAGTAGTTGACTCATTTGCTTGTTGTGGGTGATTTTGCTAGACAATGACAGAATTTTTAAAGTGGGTATTTAAGAAAAAACGGAGGAAGATTAGAAGACGATATACTTTTAGGGTCTTTTTTGTAAAAAAAAAAAAAAATAATAACATAAGATTTTGTAACAAAACCTGCTAAGTACAATGGCATGATACAGAACATGATCATTTCTAAGGAACAAAAGTTTAGATTAATTGTACTTGAGAGTTGAGTCAAGAAACTTTACCTATGCAGCGAATTAGCAGTTAATTGCACTTCTTCTGAATCCATTACCCCTCTATGTCTCTTTCTAAATGTCTCAAAAAGTTCATCCCTAATTGACATAAGCTGACAAAACAATGAGGTAATGTAAGTTGAATATTTAAGATTTACAGGAGACAAAACACTCAACATATTAATTAAAGAAGATGATGAGTTTGCCATCAAATGAAAAAATATATGGAAAGACAGAAATGAAAACAAGAAGTTACCCATACACTCAAAGGTTTGCTAGGAAGATTATTTATTCAATTCAGCTATGCCTAAATAACATGAACAACTGCAGAATTTCACAATTATATACTGCAAGAGATGACACCTTCAAACATCACATGGCATGCCATTTCTGAAGCACTACACCTCCATCCACAACTTCACATAACAGAATACAAACTCATTTACAATTTACATCATAGGGAATAATGCCTTGAGAAATATACAAAGTATCATTTTTAGTTGTACTCTCTCAATGCGTACTGTCCCAGACAGATATAGCTAAGGCCCTGTTCATTTCACTTGACTTTTACACACTGAAATTATTTAACAGAATTTTACTGATCTACAAGTATTTTTTGTTGTATGAGGCTCTAAATAAAAATGATTTTAGTTTTTACTGACTTAACCTTATTATTACCTTCATTTTTAAGTTGAAGAATATTGGTGCAAAAGAAACCACATCTTCAAGTATTAATATTCTCAGAGTACCATTTGCATCTTGTATGCAGTATAGCCTCTTGTTTCCAAACATAAATTAATGACCAAAGCCCAATTAAAACAACACAGTTAGCTAGAAGAAAACCACCATCAGAGTCATACCGGTTGCTCCACATGCTCAGTCCAGAAACTAATTGTTGATTCTTTTGCTTCACGAATCCAGTTATCAATGTCAGGACTACCAACCAGTCTACTATGACGTACAATCCACAGTGAACAAACAGAAAGGCCAACTGCCCCACATGTATACCGGATCCAGTACCGAGTCATTTTCCTGGGCTTCCGATGCCTAGCAATCTGAGAGAACAACAAAAAAATGAAGGTACAGCAATACAATCATACAAACACCTCATTAGCTTTTTACAAATTTCTAAATAGATCACATTGACTGCAAAGTTTTTTTTTTCAACATGAATTCCATAAGCAAGATACTAACATCATGCAAGAACGCGTAGTTCATAAATTACTCCCTCAATCCCTTTTTGTTTGCCCCATTGGGGCTAGTTACGTATTTAATACTTCTTCCGTTCTTTTTTAATTGACACATTATGACTTTTGACACTATTCACAAACTTTACTTTGACTAGCTTTTGTGATTTATCGATAAGGAAAAACATAGTCAAGTAGGATCTTGTTAGAATCGTCTCAATGTGTATTTTCAAATGATCCTCTCTTTAAATTTTTTACTTCTGATAATTATAGATATCAACAGTTGAATTTATGCATTGTCAAACGTGATAAAAGAGAAACTTTAGAAAACAACATAAATAGCCTTACAATGAGAGATAGATATGTGTCGAGCTTCTGGAGGTTCTTATAAATTATATCAATTGCACCTCGAATTTCATCATCCGTCCACTGTGACTGCTCTGGCTGCACTTCAGTCATTCTATTGAATACGAGTCCATATGAGTTATTCTCCCCAGCAAATGAATCTATCTGCATTATTTTGCATAGAGAGAACAAGCAATATTCAGAACTACAATGAAAAGACAATTCAAAAGTTCTTTACAACAAATACAAAAATATACTGCTAAATAGATAAGGAAGAAGAAGAAACAAAATTATATACCTGGGACAAAGAAACGTGCAATTGAGCAATGGAATTCTCAAGATTTGAAAATAATCCATTGATAGTGATCAATAATGATGGCAATGCCTTTTGAGGATCAGCCACCAGGTCTTCTCCTTGTTTATCAATTGCCATATACACCTGAATGAGATTCATGATAACTTGGATATAGGTCAAAAATATTAAATCATAGAAACATACAGTGCAAACTTTCATTTTTAGAATCGATCAACCAAGAGCATGAACATAGTCAATAGTCTGCCTCTCCATCCTCAGAAACATTTACTTCATGCAAGCTCTAAGGCCTCTAACCACAAGGTCCCAGACTTGTACAGTTGTACTTCATGACACACAATTAAACAAGTATTTCATATTTTCATGCAAGCTCTGTCCCAGACATGTACTTCATGCAAGCTCTAACTGAACAACTCCTTTCCTTGTCGTAGAAAAGTTGCATCTGGGCCTCCGCTAACTTACATGTGTGTTGTGGACTTGTAGTTGTATGTAATCTTTAAGATAAGTCGCAATTAGAGAGAGGTAGAAACAGGAGGCAGAGGGAAGCAATGCATTAACTTTGGTTTGTCAAACTCATAGGCCAACAAATATGCATCTTTAAACAAGGTATTGAGTAACAGCTCTAGAAAATTCAACAGTATATTGTCCAAAACAGAAAGGGGTACTTCACCATCCCATCCTAAGTACCAGAATAAATGAATCTTATCTATGTAATTTAAATGATTTATCAACCTTATTAGACATTAAATATATAAGTGCCTAGTGCTAGAAAGGATTCTCCTACACCCTGGTTACGAGTACTAAATAGGATGCAAAAGAGCCACCTTATATGCCCTTCTCAAATAAAGGAAGATATCCCTTAGCCTCATTCAGGGGTAAAATACACAAGAATACATTAAGCAAGACGTAGGAGCTTCTCTGACCAACCACTTCCCACTTCTAGAACCAACTACAAAACAGCATTTAAAAGAAGCTTGAGATGGAAACTCAACTTAACATTTTACTAGTCAGCACGCACATATCAGATGCCTAATCTAATCATTCCCACAAATTCTAGTGGCTCCAATACTACTCCGCATGAGGGAAAATTTATCCGATTTTGTGCAAAGCAAGCAAGGGTGAAAAAGGTGAACAAACCTGTGACAAGAACACAGCAAGTGCACATCGTATGCTATCCAACACAGATACTCTCTCGGATATGAAACCAGATGCAGAATGGCAGAGTGTTTGAAATGAAGAATCTTCGGCAATGAAATTCCGCACAAATTCAACAGTTTCACCAATCAAAGCCCGCGGCCCTCTCTCAAACATCATAAAATAGGCTTTCTGAGCATTAGACCCCTGTACAAAAATAAATAAATAAATAAATAAACACTTATCATTGGCATCTAATCTTTTGCCATTAAAAACTAGACAAATGACATGCAGAGGAGCATAGGAAACAGAAATTCATGTAACAACCTCTGCTTTAGCCTGCCAATATTGCAAATTCTTCTGAACATTGTGCATGTTCGATAATAAATGCTCGAAAACATCTTCCAAAACATCATAAATCCTAGATGCTTCTGTCAGTATCCTGCATTACCACAAACGGTAATCATAAACATAAAAACAAAACCACGATAACTATGAGCACATAATTTTGTTATTTAGAAGCTTCTCAATCTCAACCTTTAACTATCAACTAATCAAATCAATATCCTCCAAAAACATTGACATAATGCCGATAATGGATACTGTCACAACATTTTGACAAACCTTAACTTCGAACTGAAGTTGTTGAGTTATTGACCTCTCCGACTCTAAAATCATCTACAGTTATAAAGAATCTCAACCTTATAACATTTCTCAGCAATCCTAACTCAAAAACTCTAAATGCAGCCCTAATTCCTACTCCTTGGACAACATTTTCAAGCTCAAACAATCTAGCACTATAATGACACTAAAATCACCAGAAAAATTCCTTAATCTAACACTACAACAAATTCAACAGAAACATGTTCATAGTTGCAAAAATACGCAATACTCAAGCTCAAATCAAGTAATCAAACAGACAAAACTAAGTTGAATTCAGCATAATCTGAGTTAAATAGAGAGAAAATTACAGTGAAGAATGAACCGATTTCGACGGAAGAGGGAGAGGCAAACACAACTTCTGGCGACGAGACCTAGCACGACCGAATTGACGACAAAAACTGGAAAGTTTGCCGATGAAAGGAGAATTGGAGAATCGAGACCAAAGATAATTGGAATAGAGCAAAGTTAGGGTTCTGAAATTCTTGGATTGATCATTCTCTTGCGAAGGTGATGCAATTTCCATGGAGTTTCTCTCTCCTCCAGATTCGGAGTTCATGGCTTTGTTTTGGCGCCGTTGACGATTACAACCGTTTCGCCGGAGTAGTTCTCAACTTGTTAAATTGAGCTACAAATTAGAATATTGCGCTCCAAGCCATCATTTGCATTTCATTTTGTTTTACAGGGCTCAGCCTGTTGTAAGCTTGACGCTACCCAGCCCAGAAGTGTCAATTTTGGGTATCGATACTCGTGCAAGAGCCCATCGCCACAAAGTCAGAGTTAAATCGGGTTGAGTTTAGGTTGGGTTAATAACTGCCTGAATTAGGTAGAGGTGATCATAAATTCGGACCGGGCCAGGCCTTAATATCAAATATCATGCCCAAACCCGCCCAAAAGTGATGGGCTTTTCGGGCTTTGCCCAGGTCGTGTTCAGGTTTTTAACTAAAAAATTGCTTTTTGGCTTGTCCAAACCCGCCCTATTTTCGGACCGGACCATTGTTGATCACCTCTAGGATTAGGTATATAGTATACTTAGGTTTTAAGTCTAAGGGTAAGTGTAAATTGGGATTGATAACTAGATAAATGAATCCATATCTAGCTTGGTTCTCAAACTTTTGGGTCTACTCAGTTAATTTCAAGTTGGGTTAAGTTGAATCTAGGAAACCATATTCTCATTTGAATCCCGGGGGGAGGGGTCATGGTCAATTTTGTGTAGGTGAGCAACTAAAGAAGGTAAGTAGAACCGTATAAGCATAAACATTTATAAATCTTTGTGTAAAATGTTAATTATGATGATATTACAACATTACGTTAGATATATAATTTCAAGACTTTAAACCTATTTCAACACCTACACAAAAAGGTAAAATATAGTTAGTTTTTATGTATCTGAAACCGTAAAAGTAAATATTACAATCAAGATCCAATCTTAGGTTTTAATTACAAATCTTTAGGACTATCAACTAAAATTGCTTTTATCCCCCATTAGTTTACACTCTTTATGTGAGCCCTATAGTTCTCAATGATATCTTCCACTCCATTGGATCTCCACACCATAATCTCATCTCACTTTAACAACAAACTCCATTGTGGTTGTTTGGGAGGCACCACCCACCAATTATTCTACACTAAATTTGAATGATTCAGTCCAACCTAATTCAATAGCAGTGGAAATTATCATTTGAGACAATATCAACTAGTGGTGATAAAAATTGGGTCGTGTTCGAGTTTCAACTTAAAAAACATATTTAGGCTTTTCCAAACTCGCCCTTTTTTTGGGCCGGATCAGACTGGGCTAGCGGATTGGACCATAGTTGATCACTTCTAATATCAACAACCATTTAAAGTCATACAATTCTAATATTGACAGTACTAAAATATCTATTGCTAAAGCATATGCTCTCCACAAGGACTTCCCTCTTGTGATTGTACAAGGCATAAAATATCTATATTGAAGCCAACAACCTCATGTGTCATGTCTATCGGCTCACTTGAATGTTCTATGTGACAAAATTGATTTTGTTATTGTAGACATGCGTCTTTTTCTCCACAATATTGACTAGTTGTAGTAATATGTCACATGTGTATAAATCAAATGAGACAAATTGAACAAGTGACTAAACACCTCATTTAAGTCATTTTTATATTTTTTTAAGGTACATATGAACATATACCTCATAATTTTTTAAGGATTTATTTTTTATTTATTTTTTTAAACATGGATTAGTAGTTAAGTAAAGTGCACAACCTATCTCATGAATAAGTATTGGCGCATATACCCTATATATTTCATTTGCAAATAGGATGACATTTTTGTAAATAATGGGAATCTGAGATAAATCGATGGTAGAAAATATGATGACAAAATGTACCACTACATGCATAATGGTACATAATAGTACACAAAAATATACCACTGTATCATTAAAAGAGTAAAAATGTACCACCGAATCCCCAATTATTCTCTTATATGCATGCAAAATACGTAGGCCTATATATGCACTCCTATCCCATGACAAGGAATGTTCATTTAGAAAAGAAAAAAAAACGAAATACTGTACTAATTATCTAGATGTATGACATGGAAAATACGAACTTATCCCTCCAAATTCAAATTCAAAGTCAAAGTAACTCGTGATTCTATCTCTTTTATAAATATCGTAACAAAATACAATAATTGATAGCCTTACCCAGAAAAAGATACGGAGTATTGCATTTTTTTAGAGAGAGAAAAAATATTTACTCGCATATAAAAAATGTCGACGGAGCCGATATTTGGAGGTATCAAGCAGAAAGAAGGATCAGAGAACAGTTTGGAAATCGAAACCCTTGCTAATTTTGCTGTTGATGAACACAACAAAAAAGAAGTTTGTTTTTCTCTCTCTTTTAAATTGATACAGTATTATGTTTAATTTTGAAGCAATTTTATTGATATTATGTTATTATTCCTTTTTTATGCAGTATTTATATTTGAAATTTTGTTTATGATGTCTATTTTTGCATCATAATTATACTCCAATTTTATGTACATGCGAAATTTAATCGTTTCAATTGTAAATTTGTGTATACAGTATAGATATTGTAGTTTTTTTTTTTTTTTTTTGGGTTAATTTTGTCTGTATTGATTGAATTATTTACAAAATAAATTGAGGTAAATGTTTTCACCAAAAAAAAAAAAAAAAAAAAAAAATTTGTGGTAAATGTTGATTTATGAGTCATTAAGATAATACTGTATAGAAAAAGTCATTGACTTATGAGACTGACAATTGATTGGTGATCCTCGAATTGTTCGTTAATTGTTAAATGTTAATTAAGTGGTTTGTTGATTTTATTGGTAGATTTTTGATCGGGGGTAAATCTGTCTTTATGATACTTTGACTTTTAGGGTGTGCGCAGTGCTACTGCTGAGCAGTTAGTAGTTGATCAGTTCATAATATAATAATAATTTTTAATTGGAATTTGATTATTTTCTCAACAAAAATAGAAAATAAAAGCTGTTTTTTTATATGCATATAGATTTGTAAGGAAGGAATAAAATCCATGTGTGATCTAGATAGATTCGCATGAATGTGTAATTTCAACTATTATTATTATTATTGTTATTTGTAATTATACTTGAGTAACGTGACTTAAGATATTGTTGATCATAATAGGATTTGGAAATTGTGAAAAAGTCAAATGGGACAAACATTTAGGATGATTTGATTATGTTATACTATGCAGTTAATACTTGGTAGAATTGAATTCTAAGTTAATGATAATAATGAATTGAATGTTCTATACAAAAATGCTTATTTGTCGATTATATATTGGATGGATGGTTTGGAGATGGTAAAATGTAGGATCAATTAGTTTGTGTTCTCAGGATTCTTAAACCTGTGGGTTGAACTTGAATCAGATAGAGTAGATTTGTGTAATTAGATGATTGACAACTTATGTAATTTTTCCGCAGAATGCATTGCTCGAATTTCACAGGGTTGTAAACACTAAGGAACAGGTTGTTGCTGGCACTATGTACTATATTACTCTCGAGGCAACTGATGGTGACAAAAAGAAGGTTTATGAAGCCAAAGTGTGGGTTAAGCCATGGTTGAACTTCAAGGAAGTGCAGGAATTTAAGTATGTGGGCGACGCTGATGCCCCAGCAGAGGGTTCCAGCAGCTAGGTTGCCTAGGTATGTACTTCTATAGTTCTATATGCTTCATCTCACAAGGGTAACTGCATCCGTGATTTGAATCTTATTTCGTGATTAAGAATCTCCCCTGCTGTAATGCTTTTTGTCTATGATGCCTTCTGGAATATTTATTCTATGCAGTCTAGAAAGATAAGTGTATACGAGTAGTTCATTATGCTACATTGCGTGTTGTTTGTGACTTTTTTTAATTTATTGTTTGAAACTGAGTTTTTTTTTGTTTTTGGCACTAGTTTTTCAGAAGTTGCCGCTGACATGCCACTCCTATTTTATAAAATTAGGGACTAGAAGGGTTGGCTTCTGATTTGGAAAATCTGCAATGAGTCATGGATCATTCTGTATTGTCTAGTTTTTCACTGATAGATGTAAAGTTTATAATTTGAGAGGGGTGTTTAATCCTGCAAAATATTGATATTGTCAGTCTTCTTATGTCTGAACTAGAAATTTGTCCTGCCATCACTCGGTTTTGGCATAGTTAAAGCCTTCCTTTACATGGATTTTTTTTTCTTCGTATTTCACTTGATTTCTTTCCTGTGCTAGTCATATTCCCAAACTGATCTAAACTTTTGTTTCTGTAACTTTACTGAAGTTCTCCTCTTGCAGGGTCTCTGATGAATTTACTCTGTTGCTTTTGGGAATATTACGACTGCTAAAACCTGTTTGAGTGAATGATATCTATACAATCACTCTATCTAAATAATCTGTAACGCTGCACCCTTTAATACAATGATGTTTCATGGATGGAATATTGTTCTGAACTCTGTTCCATACGTCAATCTATATTATTATTATTATGGTACCAAGTATTTCTTCTTTGTTTCTCAGTAGCTTGCTTTCAAAATCATTATAAGTTTCTGTATGTTGTTAACATTGTTCAATTTCTGCAATTCGTTTTACACTTCAATCAGTTTGAATTGTCATTGAAAGAAGGTGATTCCATTAGTTTTCTCATACTCCGTATAAGTAATCAGAGATATATACAATGCATAACATGATATATAATTAATAATATTCCCAAAAGCATGTTTACGCAACCTTTTTATGAATGCATGTTTACGCAACCTTTTTACCCATTTCCACTACTATAAATACAACATTGCACCAAAGGTGTATCTGCATTGCAAAGCATAAACTTCTATCAATTACAAGATCAACTTAAGGTATATATATATGCTTTCTTTCTACTCCATTTTTATATGAAGTAATTTCGATCGTTTTATAACTGTAGTACGTATCTATTGCATGTTTTGTGATGTTAGTGTTTATTTCTTTCAATATTACTATATAAATAAGAAGCTACATAAATTTCGATTTTGTGTTATAATACAATCTATCTAAGTTAATGCTCTTTTTTTCCAATATTCATGAATGAACTACATAAATTTTTTAAATATATTGTGTTATACTCGTAATATTGGAGTATGTTTTATGCTAAGCTAGTGCCTTTTTCTTCCAGTATTCATGTAATTGTCTTATATAATTGGATTAAGTTACTTTGGTGATGTGCACTATTTGGAATTGACCTTCAGGCCAGCAACAAGTTAAGCAAGGTAACAATGGCTTCGTCGCAAGTGCACCAATTTTCTGACAAGGAGAAAGCAGCAATCGAAGAGGCAATGAAGGAGGCGCAGTCTTTCCAAGCTAACAACATCAAGAATGCAAAGGCGAGCCAAGATAAGCTTGTCTTGGTTTCCGGTGCCATGAAAAACCTACAAAGCCGCGCATTAAGGCTTCACAAATCCCACAGCTGGAAAGGAGTTTTCGTAGCCGGACCTTCTGAAACTATGGCTACGGGGGTTGGTGCATTCGTGCACGAGGGTACGCCTTGGCAAGGACAACTCCCTATGGTTGTAGGCTCCAAGGGTGTAGTGATATATGGTCACTATGATAAGGCTCTTCCTCAGCTTGGATGGCTCTTGGCTTGGGACAAACCTACTCATGTCGACAATGGAATTAGCAAGGTTTGTTGTTTAGCACAATACGTGATCATAGAATATAGAATCAATCACAGGCTTCGGCCTGAAAATTCTATAGTAATCATCCTTAAAATGACTACCACTATACTCAATTTTCACTTTTAGCAGACTTGGTTCTTTAATAATATCAAGAGTTAGCGCGACAAAAAGGTCATCACATGTTCAAATCTCATCCACCTATGACCTAATTCGAATGACTGTTTTTATTTGTTGCAGGTGTATGTGGAAGCTGGACATCTAACCAAGCTCATGGAAATGGAGCTGGCCGAAATTGAAAAGAAACTTGATGAATCCCGCAGCATATCTCGCTACTGGGATAGCGAAACCGGCGCTGCTGCAAGTGCTAAAATTGAGAACGCTGCCGACAACATGGCTTTGGTTGGTGCTACCTTTGATCAGTTCTTCAAAGCCTCGCAGTCTTAAATAAAAGGACCGCCATTATCTATATACATATATGTATCTCATCTACGTACTTAATTAACAACGTAACCAAATTAAAGGGACTTAATTAAATAATTAAACTGCATAATGTATAATGCAGGTATTATCTATGCTAAGTAATGCCCTCTTGGTTTTGTAATGCTGAAAGATGGATGATGCATACATCTAGTGCTTATATAAATAAAGAATGCTTGCTTTATATTACTTCGTATTACTTTTATTTTTCTTGCTAAGTTCTTGTTAAGGGTACTTTTTTGCTAACTGTTTGAAGAATTATTTATATATACTAATAAATATATACTTTGTTCACCGAATCATGCATGGGAATACTCGGATCGATATTTATGTACGTTTTTTTTATAAGATGGCCACGATTATTTTAACGATGGACTATGTACAAAGTATTATTTACTTGTAACACATTACTTTGCCCTGCACATTAACGAAGATACTAGATTAGATTAATATTAATTAATTTAAATAATTTTACCACGATAAAAAAATTAGTGCTTAGTTAAAAAAACAAAATTCACTTGTTTACATTTTCTGATAACTTTCTCAAATAACATGTAAAGTATGTGGGTTAAAAATTAAGCTAACACAATGAATCGAGACATATAGTGCATATTCTACCAAAAATTGGGAGCTTAGCTTGCTCATTAAGATTTAATGGATAAACATGGACGACTTTGAACAAACACCGACATTTAATTTCAACAAGGACAATTTGTCATTATATGCTACACAATTGACAATTCGATCATGTATATTGATTATTAACAATATGAATACCATTAATAAAATGAATGCAAATAACTAAAGAAGTATATTATATGAAGTGCAAACAGCATTTTTTTGGATAAGTTTATGAGTTTGATGACAACTATTATCCTACACGTCAAGCCATCAAATTTGACGAGAATTTTTCTTAATTTTGGCCTGCCATATAAAAATAATTTCGTTGCAAAATTCCTCTTGTTCGTCCCTCAGCTCTATAAATACATACAAATGGTGAACCCAAAATTATTCAATCTTCATCCATTATTATTGCAATTCATATTAATCATCTTTAATTTCCATTATTGTATTCGAGCTGAGGTATACATTCTATCCTAGTCTTTTTTCTATAGTTGATCATAAGGTCAGGTCGAACACTAATAGCTATCTTAATTTAATTTATTACTAGTACATTAATTGTATTGTTTTATATTACGAGTATTATTGTTCAATATTATTCCAACCATACGTAAAATATATATATGCATTAAGGCAATGTTCATTCAATTCTTTTTACTTATCTAAATCCTTAGATTTTTGCTCTAATATTTTATATTTTTTTGATCTGATTTTAACAAGAATAAGTTGAAAAAAACAAAGCCTAATACTCGATCTACTTCTCTTTCGTCCTAAGTAATACAAAATCTTAATGTTTGTTGTTTAATACGGTCATATAGAATGAATTTTGAGCAATAATTTTCTTGTGGAGGTAGCTAGCTAGGACATAATGACTTCGGTGCAACAAGTAGACCAGGGTGTAAGCCCATTGACCGCCGAGGAGAGAGCAACAATCAGTGAGGCGATGAAGGAGGCGCAAACCTTGTTGGAAAACAACAACAATGATGCAAACGAGATTCAACTCGCTACAGTAGCAGGTGTTATGAAAAATTCCCAAAATCGGCCACTTATGCTTAATAAAACGCTTGATGGGTTTGGAGTTTTCGTAGTGGCACCTCCTACTAATGTTGGTGGGAATAATGGTAGTGGTGAATTTATTCATAGGGCTCCTACTTTCCCTCATATTCCGGGTGGAGGCGGTCATGGCCCCGTGATCATAGGCTGTAAGGCCGCGTTGATATATGGTACCTTCGATAAGGCTTTACCTCAGCTCGGATATCTCTTAGCTTGGTTCAAAGCTCAGAGTTCTGATGAACATAAAGTAAAGTTTTGGTTTATTTTGTTTTCAAACTATACTTTTTATGTAATTTTTTTTATACATTGTTTAAGTGTTTTTTTAAAAAATTGTTTTTAGGTGTACGTGGAAACTGGGGATCTAAGCAAGCTCATGGAAATGGAATGGAGTGATGTTGAGCAGAAATTGGATGCATCTAGCAACCAAAGTCGGTACGTGGATAGCGAGACAGGAGCTATGGCAGCTGCTCAAATTAACCTCCTAGGCGATAACCTGGCTTTGCTTGGTGCAAGCTTTGATCGTGTGCTCTTTGATGAAAATACTTCTCAGTCCTAATTTCGAGACCATCATCGACATTATATAATACTATACCTCTTCCTTGCAAAATAAATAGTCACGTTGGTATTGTAATTTGAACGAAGAAGTATATCTTATTACTAAAGGGCCACTTGGAATTTTTTTAACCCGCATTTTCCATTATGCAAGCTTTATTATATTTAAATACTATGTTTAATATTGTATTTACAAATATTGTACGGAGTATTTAATAAGCTAATCAATAAATTATGCCTCCTTGGTTTTGTATGGTTGGAAGAAGGAATGTGGTTCTGATATATTTATGCTTTTCTTAACACTAGAGTATGATGGATGTTGCAAACTAGCAATATTTACGTGCTTTATTACCATTTCATTGCCGAGCACTAATGATCCTAATCAGTTGATACTAGATGAACTCCGTGTGATACACGGTTTGTTTGTATTTTTTAAAACAAATATTTTTTGTATTTATGTGATAAATTTGTTATTTTATTCGTTGTATATAGTATATCATTTAATATTTTTATTTTAAAATAAATTGTGAATTTCCTCTCATTCATTATATAATTTAGATGAAATTCCTAATCTCAAAAGATAATATATTATATTTAATTAATTTCAACTTTAAAATCCCATTCGTCAATTTTGCTTATGTGGTATTTGAATTATTTAATTTTAAAAGAATTTACAAATCTCTTATTTGATTGGTTATAACTAAAATTTATAATCCTACATGGCATGTTAAGAAAATTTTATCCTGGCTCTCTAAAAACTCGGAAAAAAACTTTCCTTTAATATATATACTATGAGCCTTGTGACTATAACATCTAGTAGTTAATAGTCGTATGTTATAAACAAAATCATTGAATCTAAATTAGATAGTACGAGTAAAATATTTTGTCTAAGAATTTTTGCCCCTAATCCTTTCTACGTACCAGAACATGAAAAATCACACTACGCTTCATTAAAATTTCAACGCTTCCAATCTAAAATAATTTACACATTATGAATATAATAATTTTCGGAAAGCCCCTAAAGACAATTGATTAATTAAATTCTCTATGTTTCAGATATTATGATAAAGACGAAACATTATATATTATTTTATCCCCAAATATTCACTTTATTTTTTAGAGTAGCTCTTTCTTTTCTTTTCGACTAGATTCTTCTTGCACTATTTTGCCACCTATAGTACTAATAGATTCATCTAAGAATGCATATGTACGCAACCTTTTTCTCTTTCCCTTCATAAATACACAATTGAAAACAGGTAACCATAAACTTCACTCATCAATCAATATTGTACTTAAGGTATACTTAGCTTTCTTCAATTCTTTGTCTATTTTTAGTACGGAGTAATAATATATCTAGTGTTGGTTCAATCTTTATTAATTAGGTGGTGCGACTACAATGGCATCGGAGCAACAAGTCCGAGGTTCAATTCAGTTCGCGGGGAAGGTAGAGAGAGCAACAATCGGAGAGCAGGCGAAGAAGGAAGCACAAACAATGTTAGCCAACAACAAGGAGAAAGCGAAGGTGAGCCAAGATGAGCTAGTTTTGGTGACAGGCGTAGTAAAGAATCTCCAACCTTGTGGAATTATGCTTAATAAGTCCCATGATTGGAAAGGAAAATTTATAGCCAAGCCTCCTGATAAGACAATTGGTGAGCATGCTAGTGGTGGATTTGTGCACCAAGGCGCCCCGTGGCAAGGGACTCTCCCGGTGGTTGTAGGGTCGAAAGGTTCGATGATATATGGTCATATCGATAATCATGCTCCTCCCAAGCTTGGATGGCTCTTGGCTTGGGACAAGCCTGACAACCCTAATGAGCTTAAAAGGGTATGTTATAACCACACTTAATAAAACGTGCTACATCTTATCTGTTTTCATTTTATCTTAACATTTACTATTGGGTAGGTGCCAAAAAAAGGCGGATAAAGTAAGACAAAGTAAGGGTAATGTAATAAACAAGATGCACCAAAATTGGATTAAAGTAAAAGTGTTAGTACAAACAAATCAAAATGGAAAGTGTTAAAAAAAAAAATCATTTTGAAACTGGTGTAGAATTTGGTTTAATAATTGATCATCAGTCAATTATTTCATTCATTTCTCTTTCAGGTGTATGTAGAAGCCGGGCATCTAGTCCGGCTCATGAAAATGGAATGGAATGAAATCGAACAAAAATTGGATGCATCACGTAGTACAAGTCATTGCTGGGACAGCGAGACTGGTGCAGTGGCAGCTGCTGATATTAAGGACTATGGTGAAAAATTGACGTTGCTTCGTGCCAGCTTTGATCATTCCCCTAGCATTAAGTAAATTGATTTAATTATGTAAATGCCTGATGAAGAATGTAATAACAATATAACATGCATTATAACATCTATGCTTATCTTACATTGTACTATTGTTATGTTTATGTAATTTAATTAGCTCCTTATATTCAGCACTTGGGTACGGCGGGCAGAGCATAGGGCAATACTTATGAAAGCAAGAATATCAATCATTGATGGTAACTTTGTCAAAAAGAATTTGATCAAAAAAATGGTGGAGGTGGAAGATCATGTAACGGTTTCACAAAAACTTAGATAAAGAATATAATGAATTAATTAATGTCATGATGCGTACATGTATATACTTCCTCCATTTTTTTTATAATTAAAACACTTTCCCTAAATAAAAATGTCAAAATAGTTACAACACATTATAAAAGGAAGGTTTTTATGGTAAATATTGTACTATAACCATTATTTGAAGCTTAATAAAGGCCCACTTGATTATACTCCTGAAAATTTCTAAACCCCATTTTAAGTGTATTATATTATGTGAGATTCATTTTTCTTAAATTTTCTGATAAAGTTTGTGTGGCAACTAAAAAAAAAAAGTAATGGAGAGTATATTTTTTGTTCGAATGAACTGGAAGGAAAATACAAATTACAATTGACCAGCAGAGAGGATATATATCTGAACTAACTAGTCAAGAACTCATTGTTGTTCATTGGTTAGAGACTTAGAGATAATATAATAATGTATGCAGTTGAAAGGAGAAAAAAAAAATCTCAAATGAAAGGCACCTAGAATTTGGGAACCACTAAAGAGTAAGGCCTACTTCGTATGTAATTTCCTTTTCCCATGGAAAGTAACTATCAATATATCAGGCCTCGCTGGCTCGATATGGGTTACTTGATCAAGTCTCGTATATGATGACCTACTGTGTTGTACTATACTCTGGGGCTAATGGACACAACTAGAGCTGTCAGTTTGGGTAAACGGGTCGGGTTTGGGTCATTTCGGGTTAATGTCGTAACTTATACGGGTCGGGTTCGAGTTGGGTCATGCTTGAGTCGGGTAACGTCGGGTCATACATCTTTTCGGGTTTGGGTCGGGTTTAGGTCGAGTTAATAACAGGTCGGGTTACATTCGGGTCGGGAGAATAATAGGTCGGGTTTAATTCGGGTTTTCACGAGTTAAAACGAATTAGGGTCATTCTCGGGTTAGGTTCAAGTCAATAATTTGCGGGTTATAATCAGCTCGGGTCATTTTCGAGTTTGAGTCGGGTTCGGTTCAAGTCAATAATTTGCGGGTTATAATCAGGTCGGGTCATTTCCAAGTCGGGTCATTCTCGGGTTCAAGTCAGGTTCGGTTCAAGTCAATTATTTGCGGGTTACACAGGTCGGGTCATTTAAAAGTCGGGTCATGTTCGGGTTCAAGTCAGGTTTGGTTCAAGTAAAAAAATTGCAGGTTATAATTAGGTCGGATCATTTCCAAGTCAGGTCATGTTCGGGTTCGGGTTTCAGGGTTAATCTAGGTACTTTTGATAATAGAGATTTTATTGAAAATATTTGAATAAGCTTAAGTATTAAAATAACTCATAGAATTAGGGGGAAAAAATAATATATATGACGTAATCCTAAATTGCTAGTTATTTGGAGAAAAATGTAATACTTTAATACTTTATGACTCAATTAGCTAACAAAATAAATAAAATAAAAAAAAATAAAAAAAAAGGTAGCTCCTTTCCTTTGAGTTCAGAAGAGCCTTGTTTGGTCCAAGGTTTTTTAGAACTCTTCCTAAAAGGTGGCCTTTGGATCTTTGTCCTTGGTTGGTGGTTGTGTGCCCTTAGGGGCTTTAGGCGTTTGGGTTTAGGCCTACGGGCTTTTTGTATTCCTGTTTTGCTGCTTTGCAGCTCCTTTTGGTAATAAAATTTACTATTTACCAAAAAAAAAGTACTTGAATCTAAAACAAATAAATGTTTCTTTTTAATTGATTTTGATGCATATGTGGAGTGTTTATACTAAATTAAAGAGATGCATATATGTACATGTACACTAAGGTTAAGATATGAGACTCGGTATATATATGTACAACAAATATATACTATAATTAACGCCTAAATTTGGGGATGATGCTTCTTTCTTTTGCTCGATCGACTTGGTCTTCCTGCATCTAAGACAAAATACTTTGATCAATATTAACATAGAGTAGTTTTAGCCTTACGAAATTTCGACATAACGCTTAGAATATATATAGCATATATCTTTATTCAGTATCTGATCTACAATAATAAAGATGTATAAAATAACAAGTCGAGTTGATTTCAGGTTAGGTCAATAACAAATCGGGTTGAATTTGGGTCGGGTCAATAACAAGTCGGGTTGATTTCGGGTCGAGTTAGTGACAGATCGAGTTGAAGTTTGGGTCGGGTTAGTAATAGGTCGGGTTAAATTCGGGTCAGGTTAGTAATAGTTCGGGTTGAATTCAAGTGGGGTTAGTAATAGGTCGGGTTAAATTCGGGTTTTGACGGGTTAAAACGGGTTTGGGTCAATTTCGGTTCAGGTCGGGTTCGGTTCAAGTCAATATTTTACGGGTTATATTCGGGTCAGGTCATCTCCAGATCGGTTTATGTTCGGGTTCGGATCTCAAATCTCGGGTAACTCGGGTCTTGGGTTGGTTTTAGGTCGGGTCATATCGGGTTCAGGTCATTATTTTTCCGGGTTTAAACGGGTCGGTTAATAATCGGATTCAAGTCAGTATTTCGAGTTGGGTCAACTTTTGACAGCTCTAGACACAACGAAGTAACAACGATCAACAAGAGAAATTTCAAAGTCTTTCGAGTCAATGCATGATTGCTATGACTTGTAAGAGGAGGATGAAGCTGTATCTTGAGTAATTAATTTCAAATTGCTTGTACCCGGCTTGTAATTAAAAAAAAAAAAAAGTCAGATTGCTTTGGTAGTTTTGCAAGCAAGCAGAAAGACAAATATTAAATTTAAATTTGATGAAATTTCAGGATATGGTGATGAAAGATGTGGGATTTAAGTGGGTATTAGGTACATTATTTAAGTTGCTCTTATGTACTTGTTTATGCTTAGTTTCTAACAGCAATAACATCGTTGCTGAGGACCCATACTTCTATGGCCCACCACCATCATATGTAAATGTTTCTCATCAATCATGGAAGGTCGGTGACATCACATCTCTCTTGAACTCTGAGGGCACTTATCCTTCCTTTGCGTTGGGTTTTGTCTCCTACGGTTCTTCAAACGTACTTGCTATACTCATGGAGCCCAAGGATGAGGTTGTGTGGTGTGCCAATGGAGGTCATCCCGTTGGAGACGATGCAACACTTGATCTTACATCAGAACAAGGTTTGGTGTTGAGGGATGAAGATGGAAATATGTTGTGGTCAACCAAAACCTCGAACCTTTCAGCTAGGTCCATCCATTTGCAAGACGATGGGAATTTGGTGCTTTTGGACGCAAAAGGTAATACCATCTGGGAGTCATTTGATTACCCAACCGACACTTTACTGGATGTTAAGCAGGGTCTTCACGTAGGACAAAGATTAACATCCAGCAATTCAACTTCAAATTTTTCCGCAGGGATGTATTATGTTAAACGGGAATATGATGGTCTTCATGCTTATGTTGATTTGAATCCTCCACAAGAATATAGATTCTTGGACTATAATACCTACGACGACATAGTTTCCCAACGTTTATACTATGCTAGTAATTATAGTTTTGATCTAAGTTATATGCATCTTACTGAAACTGGACGCCTAAAATGGATCAATATGATTCAAAGTTATCCCGATGGAAACTATTCTATTGATTTATTTGAAGATTATGAGTTTGGTGTTTGTGCCTACCCAACAACTTGCGGAAACTATGGGATTTGCGTAAATAATGAAACTATGTGCGTTTGCCCAATGGAGACCGATGAAGGTGGCATCAATTATTTCCAGCCAAGTAACGCGTATAATCTCTCTTTAGGATGTAGTCTTGTTAATCCTATAGCTTGTCCCGACACCCACAACCTCCATCATTTCTTAGAGCTTCAAGATGTTGGCTACTTCGATTCTACTCCATCGCTCACAGGAACAGATGTTGAGAGTTGCAAAAGTGCATGTTTACATCAGTGTTCATGCAAAGCTGTCATCTTTCATTACCATAATGATACTTCATTTGGTAATTGTACACTACCTTCAGTGATTCTCACTTTGAAGTATTCTGGAGGAAGATATAATGTCATTACATTCATCAAAGTGCAAAAGCAAAAGAAAACTTCATCACACAGAAATTTAGTACTTTCTGTTTCTGCTAGCTTGATTGTCTTGGTGTTGGTTACTGGAGTATTCGCTTATGTCTTTATGAAAAAGGGAAACAGAGCGAAAGACTTTGATAGTTCCTATGACGTTTTTGTTGATACAGTAACGCGGTTTTCTTTTGAAGCACTAAAATTGGCAACCCAAGACTTCCAAACAAAGCTTGGTCGAGGAGGATTTGGATCTGTTTTTGAAGGTACATTAGATGATGGAACAAAAGTTGCCGTGAAACGCCTGGATTCATTAGGCCAAGGGAGGAAGGAATTTCTGGCAGAGGTCAATACAATTGGCAGCGTGCACCACTTCAACTTAGTGAGGTTGCTCGGATTTTGTGATGATGGATTGAATAGACTTCTTGTCTATGAATACATGTGTAATGGGTCACTTGAAAAGTGGATCTTCAACCAAGACATATCACTAGCACTTACCTGGAGTGTTCGCCAAAAGATTATCCATGGTGTGGCCGCGGGACTTGAATATCTACATACACACTGCAAACAAAACGTGATCCACTTTGATATCAAACCTCAGAACATACTCCTAGACAAAGACTTCAACATCAAGATTTCTGATTTCGGCTTAGCAAAAATGGTTGACCGAGATCAAAGCCAAGTTATGACCATGGTAAGGGGGACACCAGGATATATGGCTCCAGAGTTGGTTACTGGTCGTGCCATCTCTGTTAAGGTCGACGTCTACAGCTTTGGAGTTCTTGTCCTAGAAATTGTGTGTGGCCGTAAGAATTTTGGTTCATCGGAAGGTGATTGTCTCACTAACTTGGTGAAGGTGAAAGCTGATGCGGATCAACTCTCTGATCTAATTGACGAGCAGGGTGAAGGTATGCAACAGCACAAGGAAGAAGCTGTGAAGATAATGAAGATTGCAATATGGTGCTTGCAGCGTCACTTCATCAGGCCAACTATGTCAATGGTGGTGAAAGTTTTACAGGATCTTCCGAACATGGAAGCCTTGAGTGATCTCAGTTACTTGACCATGGTCCAAGAAGCTGCTCCAGCGGAGACAAATTATGACTTTTCAGTCCGCCCGACAGAGTCACTTTTGTCTGGACCACGTTAATCTACATCTAGTCCTATCTCGAGTTTCTTAGCTGCACTTGTGGCAGCATTAGAACTCTACACTATCTTCTATGGATGTCATCAGCTGACTACTTATGTTTTTTCAGGTAAATCCAATAGCCATAGCTCTTGCTTGTACCAGTTCGTCTTCCTGTTTATGTATTCTCAATGCAATAAATTAATGTACTGCCGAAAACTAGCATCTGTTTAATCTGTATTCTATGCTTCTATCTGTTTAATCTGCATTCTATGCTTCTACTCGTATCTCTTTTTTTTAAAGATTGTGTAATTAACAACTAAATTTCAGGTAATAAATATGAAATCCAACTATCCTACTTATTTAGGTTTGTTAATTATTCAGGGATTCAGGTTATGAATTCTCCGATTGATGAAGATTAAACCAATGATCAAAAACTATGTATTTTTTTTTCCCATACAAGACTATAAACCTTAGGATCCACATCAAATAGACAGAGAGTAAAATTTGCTGAATAAGAAAAATTAGCATTTCCCACATAACAACATAGTCAGATTCTCATATTTATGAACTACAATCATTAGCTTTTTGTTGAAGAATTTACAGACAACAAAAGATTAACACCACATTTTTCTTCAGACAAGACGGCGCATAAGTTATCTTCTACATGAAAGATGATTGACAGCAAGAAATGAAACTTAAGACAGCGGCATATTCAAATAGGGTTATGTTTAATTAGATGGAAAGTACAATAGGAAATCTCCGGAGAAGTTGCTAATTCTTACATAACAGGAGTGCATAGACTCCCAGCAGCATAACTAACTTACAGCATTCAAGTAGAGAATAAAGCTTACAACCAGGTACTTGATATCACCGAGAAGTGATAATCAACTAACACAAACTGCACAATTTAAGAGCAAGAACGACTAACCTCTAAAACTTAAAGTCTGGATTGAGATGACATCAACCATTAAACCGGTTTAACACTTCTAAACACGACCATCCCATAAGGACTCAGAACGAACCTTGTCCGATGTTAAGAGGTTCCCAACCTCTTTGGGAGGGTTCAATCCCAACTTACTAGCACGGTTCCATCGATCAAGCCTAGTCATACCGATGCTCGGTCCGTACATCATGTTCATGTCAAATTGCCTCAACACTTCCTCATTCTGATCATAATCATCTGCCAAGAAAAAGTTCACCAAATGAATGAGACTATTCAATCAAATAATACCACATTGTGCTTATTAGCCCGAATATTGTAAAAGTTCATCAAAAGTACACCTTTTGCAAACTAACAAGCCACATATAGCCATAAAAATCAAAATGTGTAAATTTCCGATACTAATTTGTCAAACAATACATTAACTTACAACTAATTCATCTAAAAAAAAATTGAAAAGCAAAATAATGATCATAATTAGCCAAATTAGACAGAAAAGGTCGACTTTAGCCAATTATTGGAGAAGAAAAGGATTAAATTCGTAAGAAAATCATTCAAATAGGTCAATTCTTAAACATTCAATTACAAACCAATTGAAAACCCTAACATTGCATTATTTGACATTAACATACAATTCACCACAACACAAATCATCAAAAACAAACAACATTTTACCAAATTTGAAACATAATCAACCAAAAATCAACAATACTTCAACAACCTAAACAAATTAAAAACCATTCAACAGCAAAAATTTGAGAATTTTTTTTACAAAAATCAACAAATTAAAAAGTAGGAGAGAGAAAAAGATAAATACCTTGAAGATCAAAAGAGCCATTGCGAGTAACAAGAGCAGGAGATTGAGCGACGTCGGATCCAATAGAAGGAGAAGGAGTCTTCTTCTTGTTAAGACCTTTGGGAGAAGGTTTTGAAATTCCAGTATTACCTTTCTTCTTCTGCTTATAGAATCCTTTCATATCAACTCTAGCAGTCGCCATTTTTACCAACTTTGAAAGCTTCAATTTCTCTCTCTTATTCTTCTTCTTGTTCAATTTCTGTGACTCTGTGAGTGTTGATTTTGAATTTTGAATTATATCTTTGGGTCGGTTTAAGAGGAGAGAGAAAATACAGGAGATTCGTGTGCTGGAAGTTTTATAAAACTTGGGCTTATAAGTTGGGCCTTTGTCTTTATTGATTCGTTGGGCTTGTATAAACGATGTTATGTTACAACTTACAAGTAGCCCAAATGTTTCACAAACAAACTACCAAGACCTTTTTAGTCAAACTACAAAGACGTTTTCAGGTGATTGTTGGACTATCACCTAAAAACGTCTTTGCACTTTGACTATCACGATAAATGGCTAAATTTATTTATTTTTTTATTTTTTTTTAGGCAATGACTTGATTTGTTTTCAACAATAAGATACGAAGTTTCTTTAAGAAAAAAAAAAAAAAGAAGAAGAAGAAGATACAGAGTGATTTTCAATAAAGTTGAGACCAAAAATTCTCAAACATGCATGCCCTAATTCCTTGATTTGGCAAAAAAGGAAAAACGTGTCAATTTGGCACAAGTTAATTCTAAGACAAGTTTTATCCTTCCCTCTAAGACAAGTTAATTCTAGTGGAATAATATGAATAATTCTAGCAATTGATACGAAAATATATCAACACCTTAAACTACACTCTTATGATTCAAGATACTACGTACTCTATTCAGTTGATGATTTACAAAGACATGTATTGACTATCTTAATTATTCTAACTTATATTTGATGTATTACTTGTATAATTCCGTTCATGAAGTACAAAGAAATTTATTCCATATTAATTTGATCAACGTACTTTAATCTATTCAATGCACACCTTTGTTGAAAGTAAACAACTACTTGTACGTAGTTGGATATTATGGACATAAACTATGAGTTATCTGACAAATTAATAACAATATAATCCACTTGTCTATCCATTAATTGAAAATTGAAGATGTATTATCAAATCCACATGAAGTAATCCTGCGTTATTATGTTTATCTAAAGATCAATAAGATAATCCAAGCTTGATTATTACTTGTATCATAATAAATAATACAAAGTATGTACATGATAACAATCCATCTTATTTTGACCAAGATTATCTTATTATTATCACTTTGAAAAAACTCTCTTGTAAAATTGGTCATTAATCAGCTGAATTAAAAACGTGAAGAAATTTAGAAAAAAATTAACGAAGAAAAGCAAAATGGCAATGGTAGGAGGTGTTTCAGAGAATAAGGGTTCAGAGAACAGCTTGGAGATCAATGAACTTGCCAAATTTGTTGTTGATGAGCACAACAAGAAACAGGTACGTATTTCCCAGCATATTACATGCAATCTCAAACTAACTAATTGTTGCCATTATGTAGGAACAAAGGGGGTAGGAGTTTCAACTTGCAGAAAGTATCCGTTTTCCTAGCATATATACTGTTGCGATTATTTAGGAACAGAGAGGGTAGAAATATAAGAATTGGACTGTCCATCTTGTAGAAAGGATCTGTTTTCCTAACATAGGAAAAGTACTAAGATTGTTATGTTCTTTTGATGTATATCAAAATTAATTCTACTCTTAACGAATTTGGTTGCTTCTGAAATTTTATTGAACTTGTGAAAATTAATTTACAGAATTCAATGCTGGAGTTCCAAAAGGTTGTAAATGTGAAGGAGCAAGTAGTAGCTGGTACGTTGTATTACATTACTTTGGAGGTTGTTAGGGTTGGTGAGTGCACAGCGGAAGCGAAGATGTGTTTGATTGAGAAGTGTAAATTGAATTGATAATTTGGCAAGATAATTAATATAAATGAACACACGATTTTGTGTAACAACGAGCCCTTTTATTCCACTATTTGAAAGTAGGAGAGTATAAGAACCCTTGAGAGGGTGAGTATTACAAGAGAACTCTCACTATAAGAAACTCACAAAGGAGTATTATGATAGTAGTGGAATATTACAAGGAGGGAGAATATTTTGTAGAAAGGCTTGTATTTGGTATGGCTTGTGTTGTGTTGTTGTTGTTATGTTGTTGTTATGTTATGTTATGAATGCCCTTGACCCATATTTATAGGTAAGGATGGAGGCTTCTAGATTCTTATAGGAATTTCTCCATAATTATGGCTCTTAATCTAGAGGCTTCTACTTTTAATATTCTCTAGAATATTCTAGGAGATATTAAGGTTGTAGATAACTCTAGAAAAATCAAATGCAATCTTCTCTTGATTTTTCATGAAGCTTCTAGATTATACTCCATCGATATATAATGGGCTAATAAAATTTGGGTCATACCCAACAGAGGCAAATGATGCAGGAAACAACAATGATATTCAGTACTATGAAGCTAAAATTTGGGTTAAACCATGGTTGAACTTTAAGGAGTTGCAAGATTTCAAGTTTCTTGGGGGTACTCTGCCTATAGATGGTACTGCCTCGTGATTTCGTTCTTGGTTGTGTTTCTTTTCGTTGTTATCAACAATTTCGTAACAAAGTATACATCTTCAATTTTCAGTATCTTATCATCAGAGCCAGCAGATTGTTTGTAACTGTACTAAGCTAGTTGTCGATCTTGTCATATTTTTGCAGGCTGTTGAAGAATGAAGCTGTTCATGACTTGATTCAGGACAGCTAAACAGCCTGAACTTCTGAAGACCTGAACATCTGATTATCAAATATGTTTTTCTTTACATGTTATCGTTGGATATGACAGATTATATTATGTTATTATATATGTATGCAACTGAAACTGTAGCTTGTGAAGTCTACTTTAATGCTTATAGAATTGAACACACACAAAACGATTTGAATGCAAGATCAAACGATACAAATTCCTAGCAACTGTCTTGGAAATGTGCATCATATTGATTTTTCTCATTTTAATTAAATGTTTTTATCTTCAAATTAAAAGCTAGCTAGCTTAGCTTCTTCAAAAAAATAATGATCTTCAACAGGTTTTTGACCTCCTTAACTCCTTTAAACATTGAAGAAGTATTACATAGCCTAAAAGGCTAAAAATCTAAAATACAATATTGCAAAACTTAATGTGGTCGAACAAAAATAAGAAAGGATACAGTACAAAATAGAAAATACAAAAAAAAAAAAAAAAAAAAAAAAGGCTATAGTTGGATTAAAATCATCAACGAGGTCCAGACAAAAGTGAATCTGTAGGACAGACTGAAAGGCCGTAATTTGCCTCCATTGGAGCTGCTTCATGGACCATGTTTAAGTAGGTGAGATCAGTTAGAGCTTCCATGTTCGGAAGATCCTGTAAAACTTTAGCTGCCATTGACATAGTTGGTCTGATGAAGTGAGGTTACAAACACCATATTGCAATCTTCATTATCTTCACAATGTCTCGATTGTGTTGTTGCATACCTTCACCATGCTCGTCAATTAGATCAGAGAGTTGATCCTCATCAGCCTTCACCTTCACCAAGTTAGTGAGACAATCACCTTCTGATGAACCAAAATTCCTACGGCCACACACAATCTCTAGGACAAGAACTCCAAAGCTGTAGACATCGACCTTGACAGAGATGGCACTACCAGTAACCAACTCTGGAGCCATATATCCTGGTGTCCCCCTTACCATGGTCATAACATGGCTTTGATCTCGGTCTACCATTTTTGCTAAGCCAAAATCAGAAATCTTGATGTTGAAGTCTTTGTCCAGGAGTATATTCTGAGGTTTGATATCAAAATGGATCACATTTTGCTTACAATGCTCATGTAAATACTCAAGCCCCACAGCCACACCATTAATAATCTTTCGACGTAGGTTCCAGCCTAGTGTCTGTGATGTGTCTTGATTGAAGATCCACTTCTCAAGTGACCCATTACACATGTATTCATAGACAAGAAGTCTATTCAGTCCATCATCACAAAACCCAATTAACCTCACTAGATTGAAGTGGTGAATGCTACCTATTGTGTTGACCTCGGCCAGGAATTCCTTCCTCCCTTGGCCTACTGATTCCAACTGTTTTACGGCAACTTTTGTTCCATTACCTAATGTACCTTCAAATACAGACCCAAACCCTCCTCGACCAAGCTTTGTTTGGAAGTTTTGGGTTGCCAATTTCAGGTCTTCAAAAGAGAACCGACTTATGTTATCAACAAAAACATCAAGGGAACAATCAAAATCCTTGGCATTATTACTTTTTCGCCTCCATATCATATACACAATAACCACAAATAAGACTATCAACCCAGAAGATACAAGAAGTACTGATTTTTTCTTCAATGAAGCTTTTTTTGATGCCTTGTTTTGCACTTTGATGAATGCAACAGCCTGATAGGCCAAATATTGATCAGAAACATCCATCAAAGAGAGTATCTCAGAAGTTAGTGTACAATTACCAAAAGAGGTATCCATATGGTAACGAAAGAAGACGGCTTTACACGAACAATTATCAAACACACTCTTTTACAGCTCTCAACATCTATTTCTGTGAGAGAGGGAGTAAGGAAGAAGTAGGTTACATTAACAAACTCTAGAAAAGTGTGGAGATTGTGCTTGTCAGGACAAGATAGAGGTGTAACAAGGCTACATCCTGAACGGGAATCAAATGAATTAACTGGCTTGAAGTAATCCCAGCTACCAGCAATGCCACCCATTGGACAACTACAAAAACCACCGTCCTTACAAATTCCATACTTTCCACAATTTGTAGGGTATGAACAATTATCATTGTCAAAGACATCACTGGTGTAAATCTCACCTTCTTTCCAAACATATGTACGTAGGTGTCCATCTTGATCAAGACGCATATAACTATTCTTATAATTGTACTCATCAGAATACAAGGGCGAAGAACTGGAAATTAGGTAAATATCATTCCACCTATCTTCTTCAATGTCCCGGAAACTATAGTACTGAAGGATTCGAATCAACAAAAGCATGAAGACCAGAATAATCTCGAATAACATAGAAGAGCTCTGAGGAATTACTTGAAATTGATGTTGTGGACATTAATCTATGTTCCAGGGGAAGACGCTGGTCATGGATTAACGTATTAGTAGGGTAATTATATGACTCCCAGATGATTTCCCCATTTCCATTTAAAAGGACCAAGTTCCCATCACTTCCCAACTGAATTGACCTCACTGAAAGGCCAGGGGTGTTGGTAGACCACACAAAACTTCCATCAGCATCCCTTAATACCAAACCTTCTTCAGATGTAAGAGCAAGTGTGGCAAGCCCTTGAACAGGATGACCTTGATTGGCACACCAAACAACCACAGGGGAAAAATTCGCCTTCCCAATATATATCACAAGTATATATGAATCAGGTGCAGTTTCATGGGCGAAAAGGCCAAATCCAAATGGAGGATAATAATCAGTACTTGTCTCAACTCCATACTTATTATAATTACGGTGGATGTACTCTGGAGAGTACAAGGCTGTTCTTATAATATAATTATCATCAGAATAATAGCTCCCTTCATTCATAAGCCAGTTATTGTTGTTTTCCAATGAATTCGAGACATTAGCATATGATGAAAGGCTTTTAACAAAGATGATGTTGTAGCTAGAAAGAAAGTAACACCAAATGCATAAGAGAATTTTGAATGTACCTGATACCCAAGTTACTCCATAATCTTTCCACATGACCTGAAAATTACATCAGAATTTAGTTAGTACTCTATCTTTGCTAATATCGCAAACTGCTGCCCCTTCCCCCCCCCCCCCCCAAAAAAAAAAAAATAATAATAATAATAATATTAAACTCATATGCTTTTCAAGTAGACTTACTGCTTGATAGTAAAGACTTGATAAATTTCCACTGGAATTTAGAATTTCTAGAGTATGAACTATATATGGATGCTTGAATTATGAAGAATGAAGACTATGACCAGAAGTTTCCTTCTAATTTATTTGTTCTTCAGCAAATTTATTTCTCAAAAACAAAGAAAAAATAGTGCATTAAAAATGTAAAATTAACTTCACAATTCAAATCTAAATATCATGTAAACTTTCCTATTCAGGATTCAATTACACTTGGAAGTAAATTAAAAAATGTAAATTTATTCACTTGTGAACATTGTTTATAATAAATAAAACTTCCAAAAAAAAGAAAAAAAAAAAAAAAAAAAAAAAAAAAAAAAAAAAAAAAAAAACCATCAAGGTGAGTCAACCACAAAAACCCATCCATATCACTAACATGCATCAACTTGGATGAAGACTTTTATTTTCTGTAGTCCCCACATCAGCCCCACATGTTCCAATGAACAAGTGGTCAACAATTCTACACTGAGCTCGCTCAAAAGCCTAGAATTCAATTAAGAATAAAACTCATTCCCATTGTTGACGGTTATACATTCCCTTGAAGGACTACCATATGCATTGAGCCATGGAAATTTTTTTAAATTCCTCTAATCACCATTAGCCCTCGTGGCGTATAGAACGAGTAAAGTGTTGACTATAAACTGTTTAAACCAAAACAACACAAAGAAATGTCTATTAAGATTTAAATTTTCTCCAGGGTTCACTTATTCATATTAAGCAAATAGTCTATCCAATGAAATTAACTCAAGATTTCTACACTTTTCTAGAGTTTAGAAAGAATGGCACAAGCAGGTTTCAACCTTTGACCTCTTATAATCATAATGCAGCTAATTTTTATCGATATGCCAAACTTGTTATCTTATGTCGTTAAGAAGAAGAATTTTTCAAACATATTCTCAGGCCGTGTTTGGTTTCACATTACAATATCAGCATGCCTATTATTTATAGAGGGGAGTATATAATTAAAAGAAAGTTCAGAATGCTGGACTGAAAAATTTCAAAAGAGATTTGTATACTTATAAAGTCCTCGCAACTCTTATATACACTAATACACCACATGCTAGACTGAAAAACCTATACATAAAATCCTAAGATTAAACATTTAACAATTCTAGGAAGAGTTTTGTACATACTCCTCGTAGTCGGGCTAGGGTTACATACTATAATTATCTTAAACATAACCCTATGATCAGAGAAAACCTCAATTATATTCTGCGTGCAGGGAACAAGCCTAATACCACCAGTAGTAAAATCATGTCCTTGGCATTTTTTAAAAAGATTTGGTATATTGAAGCCTAGGATAAATTCACAAGTGCTTAAGCTGTTGTCTGAGAAAGGAAAAGGGAATACGTTTTTTTTTTTTTTAATTTGTTCCTTGACAGTGGAAGGTGAAAGTGGAAAACAAGAATCAGAAACAAACCAAGAAAATGGGCCGGGTGTAATTAGTCAAAGGAACTTGAGAGGAAACAAAAAAAAGGGAGATAACAGAAGGAAAAAGCACTTGTGAAGATGGATAACGCATCTGAGACTACTTCACAAAGACAATAAAAAGTGTGGAAGGATTACAAAAATTATCTGTGAATTTTATTCGAATTAAAAAAATCAAAATTTGTTCAAGATTACTATTAGTTGTATCAAGTTTTCTGGAAAAAAAAAAAGGACTCAATACAGTTATCCAGCAAGACACACGACTCTGGTTATTTTGAGGTAATTACAGACGTACGGGCATTTCAATGACACAAACCAAGCAAGAAATTGAAAAATAAATGTCGGTTGAAAAAAAAGTAAGTAATAACAGTATTTACCCTTAGACTCCAAATTCTGAATCAATAGTACTTGTATATTGATTTCTGACAAAAGACACTAAAGTGAATAGCTTGCTATGAATGCTATCACTTGACCTCAGTTGTGTCCAACATGATGTTTGTGCTTTTCTGGCATAACTGACCATTGAGATACAGTGCAAAAGTGCAATCAGCTTCATCTGAATGCACTTAGCAGTTAGAAGTAAACATCAAAGATATTTAGAGAACTTCATTTGGATTGTTTAAAGGGTTTAGTATAATCAGCTCAAAGAAACATTGATTGCCTGAGCCAACAGCATATTGAAAGGAATAAAACTACAGATGTATACATAAATAACAACCCTTGCCTGGCTTCCATACTTTAATTATCTAGAGGTAGATAGGGCACAAATCTTGTCAAATTTATGTATGTCTAATCTAATTCAGATAGAAGAATATCAAATCAACTAATTTTACAAAACAATGAGAGAAGGCTAACTCACTCTTCATCGTAGTTTTCATCCTCTGACCTCTCCTATTTGCTGATTGATGCTCGCTTGCCAATTGAGCAGCATCGATTGCAACAGTTCCCATCTCAATGAGGAACCACTCAGGATATTCATCATGTGCCATTTCTATAACAGGCTCTGCTGCTGTATTATCGAGTCCCAGGTCTGAAGTTGTGGCAGCAGTACCATCTGCATCAAAGTCCATATTTGGGTCAAATTTCTGGACTGATGCCTCGTCACCTATGAATTCCATCCCCCGCACAAATATTATCATTTCCTGCATGTCATGCATGTCTGGATCATCTTCAAACATATCACCTGCAGTTTCTTGACTGCCTCATCCACGGCCTCTTCCTCTACCTCTTCATCGTCCTCTTCTTCACTCATAGTATGCCTTGTGCCAAGCTGGAAAAGCAACCACTCCTTTATCATTAAAAAACACTATCACATACGGAATATTTTGTTTTTTGCAGTCTCTCCCTCGCAATGTCTTTTCACAAACCAAAAAGATTAGAGCCTAAGGTTAGAGAATAAGTTAACTTATCAACAAAGAAAATGTTCTCATTCACAACCCTAAGGTTAGAGCCTCCACCGCCATTAAGAAAAATTATAAATTTTTTTTAAAAAACAAGACAAAACAAAAAACTGATCATATCCATGGACATTCCCAGAAGAATCCCAGGACATACCAAACTGAAGCAGGGGGATTCATTCTGTCAAAATCGAGATCTCAAAAGAAAGAAGAACGCCAATCTGGATTGGCTGCTCATTTTTTTACATATAATACCGGGTAAAACTGCAGAATTTTGTGTAACTGGATATGACCATATAGGATAACATCATCAAATACATTTCTAGTTGGATTATAAGATTTATTTTTTCCTTTTATATTTTTCAGTTTTCTGGTTTTATACAGTAGTGCAACAGTGCATCAAGTATAATTAGTATTTACATGAGCTGTAGATCATAAAATTATAATATAGACATTGAGATTTCCCTTTTAGTGTTTTTGAACAAACTTTCTTTGATATAGCTTAGCATAAGTACATTACTAAATTTATAGCTACCAACATAGCCTATTCAAATTAACAACCTAAAGTCTTTTACTTCTGTAAGGAAAAAAAAAAAAACACTGGAATTTAAAAGAACAAATCTTTTTGAAATAATAATAACAATAGATTAACATTTAAAAAAGCTATACCGATTTGATTCTTTTATATTCTTCATTACCCTCATCATCTTCAAAATCAGCAAGTTTCCTAGTCACAATACCAACATAGACGTCAGCAACACAAATTTATACCTCAAGAATGAGAACATAATGGATACTCCAAATAAAATTGTGCAGACCTTCTTGCAACTAGCTGAAATCAGAAAATTTACTAACAATATCTTTCAGACAATCAACTACATTGGTGTTCTGCACACTGTTGTTATTTCCTAGGCAATAAGAGAATTGTTAGACTAACTCGAGAGATCTTATGCAATATATTATTTTTAAAAAAAAATTAAGACAATAAGCAAATGTTCTTCATTACTCTGTAATGCTGAATCCAAGTTGCACCAGACAAGACAATAAAATAGTGACCTTAATCTTTAGGACTCATTGTCATTTTCAACTTATTAACGGAAACTGGGAAGGGACTAATGATTCATTATAAGATGACAAACAAAGACATATTATATGATCTGTTCCTAATAAATGTGACCAAATGGTGCTAACAGCCTAACATGCATAGACAACCTAACTAATGCAAAACTAAAGCAAATCAGAATCCAACTTTTGTAAATATTTCTTGAAGAAATTGTGTAATAATAGCAGACTTCAATTTTCTTTCGTTTAGGCAACAATAATAGGTGTAACTGAATTCTAGAACATAAATTAAGTAGTTCTATAATATCTTCACTTTTCTAAAAATTATTATTAAGGGCCTTAAGGCATATTCCAGCAGCAAATATACTAACAGGTGTGATGAGCTGATAATCTGTTCCCTTTGTGTCAGTGTTATTTCATACTTCCAACCACAGAGATCTTGTAGAATCGTTCCAAATCTGAGCTGTGTAGAATAAAAAGGCACGCCTCAATCATTACATATGTAATATGTTTGGCACAAGACAAACACTGAAACTGCGAAAACCAACATAAAAATTTCTCAAAGTAATTTAATACATGTTAGTATTTATATACTAGGTACTTTAGACTTATATAGACTCAGATAGTAGAAGATGAACAGCCATGTCCATCCTTTTCACATCCTCGTCTGCATACTCTTTCAGAATTCAAGGCTATTTCAAGAAAAGACAAGGCACAACAACACCCAGTAAATAGGATCTAGATAAATGCATCATATGTGATGATTAGCCAGTAAGATGTTATATGAAACAGATCATTGATCGTTGATGAAGAAAAAAGATCAACAACTTTCACGGAGGTCAAAGGCCAAAGAAGCAATTTAAAAGCATTCAGCACGTAACACTTATAGAGGGAATGAATTCACTTCAAGTTTTCAGTACCCCCATACCCTCAACATTGCCTCCCACTATTTTTTAATAAAAGTGTAATTGCAGCCCCTGCAGGGAAAAGTTGATCGAAAGAATCCAGTCCTACTTAAAAGTTAAACATATTACAAGACATGGTATAAGTGAGATGACTAGTTAGTTTGAACATGTGACCAAGTCCGACAACCATATTTCTCATCTACTAGTAAGCTCAGGTATTCCATAAGTCAGAAGACTAACATTCTGGTATTTGCAGCTAAATTGAAGCCTCGGACACCTCCTCCCTTTCCCAACCCACAAACACGCAATACAGCCTAGTGGGATAAGCTACTTCGGCCTGTAAGATATTGCAGCCAGCAAGAGAGCTCCAACAAGTGGCGAATATCAAAAATTCAATTAACCAAGTACATTTCACTTAACACAATTGCAAAAATCACTTTTGACAGAGGATACACCTGACTAGCTAGTAGCTAAATCCACTACAATGCCAACATAACAACATTCCAGTATTCCACTTTCTTAACCTATCTTCATCACCCTCCCCCCACCAAAGATATTGTTACACAGCAGTATATATCAATATCAATCGACGAATTCACACGGCTTCACTAGGCACAAAGTTGATACATTAATATACCCCCAAAAAATCTAAAATTTTCACTAACTGTTCATTCCTTAATCTAGTTTTCTTCAACAACAACCCAATGTCAATTTCGTAGGAAGTCGGGGACAAATGTACGCACCTTTACCCTAACTAATAATAAAATTGCAGTCGAATATCACATTAAATCAAACATAATGCCACGTCCTAATCTTGAAAATTATCCTAAAGCAAAAATCACAACAAAGATATAATTGAAGCTGTATAGAAGATTCAATCTACAAAAAACACAAAACAAAAATCCGCCAAAAATGTAGAAGATAACATAAATATAGATGATTGCAATTTTAAGTACTAATTTCTAGGTAATAATTCGTCCAAATTAAAGAAGATTAAAGTAGAAAGACATACAGCAGAAAATCAAGAATCCAATTTCCAATTGCAATAATCAACAACGCCAAAAACCCTAATTTATTCTAACAACTGCAAACTCAATTGTAATTGAGGATAGTATGAAATTGCGGGAAGTTCAACTGGGCAAACCTTGTACAAAGCGCCAACCGCCGAAATTGGTTCGGTTTTTTTTTTTTTTTTTTTTTTTTTTTTTTAAAGTTTGGAGGTAAATAGAGGGAGCTTTTTTTTTTTTTTTTTCTACGTAAAGACGGGTTGGGCCTCCACCCTATTACAGGAAGTTAGGAATGGGTGGCTGGGTGAGAAATTGAACCCAACCACTTGAGGAGGAGATCCTAATTTGAAGTTGTATAGCAAAAGGTAAAAGAAGAACAAAAGGAAATAAAAGAAAAGTCAACGCCAAAAAATAGTCAAATTCTCGGTATTTTTTTTTATTATACGTAGTACTCTGTAACATTTTATGTTTTATTAGGTAGTTTATTATACGGGTAACATTTTACTAAATGTCGCACACATAAGCTAGTGGTTGCAGGTCAAGATTTGTTTTTGTTAGACCTTAGGAAAAGTTGTTCTAGCATTTCAAGGCAATAAAATCACTAACTTTTTTAGGCTTGTTGGTCTTCATAGAATTGCTAATGCAATTTTCAATTGTCATGTGATTTATTCTCATCAACTGATTTGCTTTGTTGCATTTCATTGCAAAGATAATTCCTTAAGGGATAAAAATCACTAAGTTTATTAACTTTACAAGTTCCCATAAAAACGCTAATGCAATTTTACAATTTTCATGTGATTTATTCTCAGCTTATTTACTTTATTGCATTTCCTTATTGCTAGGATAATTCGTTACAAGGGAAAAACTCACTTACTTTGTTCGTTGTACCGGTTTCCATAAAACCACTAACGTAATTTACAATTTTCATGTGATTTATTTTCAGTTCGTTGCATCGGAGAAAAAGACTACACTAACTTTATTTGTTGTACTAGTCTCCATGAAACTGCTAACATAATTTACAATTGTCATGTGATTTTTTTCTCAACTAATTAATTTGCTTTGTCGCACTCCCTTGCTAGGGTACTTCGTTTTTCAGGAAAACTAGCTAACTTTATCAGTTGTACTGGTTTTCATAAAATCAGTGATGCAATTTAATCTTCATGTGATCTATGCTCAACTGATTTGCTTTATTGCACTTCATTCCTGGGATAATTCCTTTTAAGGCAAAAACACAACTGACTTTATTAGCTATATACTAAACTTCGTACAATTGCCACGCGGTTTAGAAAATTCATGTGATTCATTCTCTACTAATTTTCTTTTGTTGCATTTCCTTGATAGGATAATTCATTTAATGAAAAAAAGGGATTTGTTAAACATCGCCCGCAAATCTCCACATAAAGCCCACAAATTAGACATGGTTTGACAATTTTGCCCATTTCTAAAATCGTACCCAAAGTGAACAAATCTCGATCTAACAAATGTGGAGTCGTACTGGGTTGCCCAGGGAGGCCGGAGAGGCGAGGGTCGCCGGAAATACGTTGTCTTCGACGGAAAACGAGGTGGCGCCTAGTTTGGACGCCGCAACCATGGTAAGGACGTCCAGGCAAGGCGCCACAACCAGTGCACTGGCGTCCAGGCCAGACGCCACAACCAGTGCACTGGCGTCTAGCCCAGGCGCCTCAACCAGTGCACTAGCGTCGCGCCACCACCAGTGCACTGGCGTCTGGTTTGGACGCCACCCTTACTTTTTAATTATTTTTTTTTTGCCTTTTTTTTTAAATTATGTTTATTAAATTTATGTTTTGATTTAGGATGTGGAAATTTATGTTTTTTATTTGATTTTATAAAAAATATATGTACTAGACTTATAAAAAATAACACATAAAATTAATAAATATTAAAAAAAAAAAAATCAAACACATTAAAAAAAAATTAGAAATTTTTTCTGATTTTCCAAAAAAAAAAAAAAAAATTAAAAAAAAAAATTTAAGGCAGCTGGGGCGCCTGGCCAGGACGGCCCGTGGCTGGTGGTGGCGCCAGGTCCGGCAGCCACGTCCACCGGCCTGGCGTCTGGGCAGGACGCCTAGCCACAGTGACTGGCGCCTGTCCCAAACGCCACTCACCGTGGCTGGGCGTCCTGCCCAGACGCCACGCCGGTGGACGTGGCTGTCGGACCTGTCGCCACCACCACCTTGCCGCCACGAGCCACCACTACCTTGCCGCCACGAGCCAACCACCTTGCCGCCACGAGCCTCGACATCCCCGTACTTTGATTTTTATTGAGGTTGTGTTTTTTTTTTAAGGTCAAGGGCAATATTGTAACTTCAATATAAGTTTGTGGGCTTTATGTGGAGATTTGCAGGCGATGTTTAGCAATCCACAAAAAATAACCCAATAGCTTTATTAACTGTATCAGCCTCCATAAAACTGCCAATGCAACACAATTTACAATTGCCATTTGATTTGTGCTTAATTGATTGCTTTGTTGCATATATATATATATATATATATATATATATATATATATATATATATATATAGTTCATGAAAAAAGGAAAAAGAAACTGTTTGTATTTGGTTTTAAAATTTTGGGAAAAAATTACTTTTGTAAAGGTAACAATTAGCCAATAACTACTTTACCAAACATTTATAATTTGATTATTACCATTTAATTACTACCCGTCTTCTTGATAAAAATAAAATAAAATAAAATTATTTGCGGAACTAACATTTACAACTACCTCTATAGCTATGTATATTTTACCGAACATGACTAATGTGTAATTATTATGTGTATGTAGGGGTGAGTGTGAGCGTAATGGTTCATGAAGAAATCAATCCAGTCTTCGTTTGTTCATAATCTAAGCTAAAACTTAACATAATTGTTTAATTTGGATTTAAAATGATTTGAATATCCAATGTTTCTTAAACTCAAAAGCTTATTCACTTAAGATATGTTATACAAATTGCATATTTGATGTGATATTTCGTTAGATTTTTGTCATACCAAGTGTTAAATTATCTATTCATAACAAAGATAAGTAAATTTCAAACACAACTTGGATGTTCAAGTGAAATAATGTTATTATCAAGTCAATCAACAAAAAACACATTACAAAATATGGAGTAATACTTATCGTGCTTTTTGTTAGAACAATCTTACGAAGTTGATGACTCAAACTCAAATTATTCTTATTAAACCAAGCTTGAGCAAGATTTTTAAGCTCAAGGCGAATTCAAACTCATTAAAATTAAATCAAATAAAGCTTAACCAAGGTTTAACGATAATTGTCCTTACTAAAAAAATCAGACAATATTATTTAAAATGTATTGATTTCTATACATCTTAAATTTTTTATTTATTATTTTCTCTCAAAATAGTGGTGAGACAGAAACACATGCACGACATGCAAAGAAATTAAAGCTGTAAAAATTACCGAATTTTTACAGTTACATTTTTTGCTGGGCCCCAACTGTTTCTTAACACAGTAACTCCTTTTGGCCCAAAAAAAAAGTCCTTAAAAAGCCACGTCGCCCGTAGAATAATAATAAAATAATAAAAAGAATTTCCCTTTTCCTTTATTTATTTCCGAAAATAATTTTAATAGTTTCCCCAATTTAATTTTCTTTTTACCCTTCTTTTTCCTCATCATTATCGTCGTCGTGTCAATCAAAAACCCTAATTCGTTTCGATTCAGTTTCAGCCTCGCAATTTCTCTCTCCTCCCATCTCCAATTTCCCCAATTTTCTCTCTCCTAATTCCGACTATCATCATCTCAACCTTCTGATCTATTAATCGATCCGTTCATTTCTTGATTTTATATAAATTTCTAACCAGGTTCGTGATTCTTCTTTCTCTCTCTTCGAATTTTCCAGAAAATGTTAATTTTTTTGGTTGGAGCTGTAATTTATGCCCTAATTTCATGATTGAATTGCATTTTGAGCGTCAATTGGGGATTCGTTTGTTGTCGGAAGTTGCCGGTGTTGAATTATTGGATTTTGGATTTTCGATCATTTTGGGGGTTAGGGTTGCGATGTTGTCGGAATTTCAACATATTAGATTCGGAAAGTTCTGGGGAATTAGAAATTAAACGTGGTTTTACACTTATATGATCAACTTGTTGGTATTGAAATATTGTTCTCAAATTTTTCGTTTGAATGAACAAATTAGTTTGATATAATCTTGACTCATTTCATATGTCGGTTTTTGAATGAACAAATTTTTCTTTTGAAATATTACCTTTTAATTTTTGCAACCGAAATGCTGTTTTTAATTGTATAAGTTTGATAATTTGAACACATTCCATTTCTTCTAATTATGTATTTGTTCATATGTTGTATTTGTTGCTAATTTGCTATGGCTTGTTCTTGGAAAAGAACAGGGTGTTAAGTTTTGTTGCTGTAATTTGAATTGAAAACTCGAGTGCGTGTAGTGGAAGTATTCAGAGAGATGACAATCTTATTTCAGAGAGTGTTTAAAAATCTACTATTAAGGGTGTTATGGGGGACTGGGGGAGTTCTTTTGACTAATTAGTTGGAAGTTCGGGTATTTTACTATTACGGTGACATATTTTACTATTAGTTGGAGCATAATAGTGGATGAAAATGGATTAGCCTTTTTTTGTTCGTGTGATAAACCTTGGGTTTATGTTTGGTAATCTCTTCTTTGCCTGCATAGTCGTGTTGAGCTATAGATGATTGACAGAAATGGCTAGCTAATTAGGTCTTGTAACGAGTGAAGGAGCGAAGGAGGAGAATCTTTAGAGACTAGTGCTTTGTGTTTGTTTTTGGGGAAATGCTTTTGTAGAGCACAATTGCATTTAGGATATATGTTTTGTTTCAAGGTGCATAGAGCAGGAGAGACCAAGATGGGTGAAAACTTGAGAATTAAGGCCTTTGATGTAGATGTCCAATTGATTGGTTTATCTTTCTTTTTACCGTTTATCCTTCTCTATGTCCTGTTTCCTTAGTTTTGTTCTTCGACTAATAACGTTTGCCTGTGTGGAACCTATGGATGTGTCCGCTTAAGGTTATGATGTTCTGGATTTTTTTTAAATTTTTTGGTCTTCTAATTAGCACCAATAAATTGAAAATAAAATAAAATCAAACAGTGGATATATTGTTCTTTGTGTTATGCTCATTCTACAGTAGTAGGTTTTTTTAATCTTTGTTTAGTGTCTTGTCTCTTCGGAGACATCTGATAAAAATATTTGTTTAGTGTCTTACAATACAAAGAGATATTTGGATGCCACTTTTTAAGAACTGTGATAGTATAGGATTCTGAATCTGTGTTTCATAGGCAAAGTAGTTTTTTGTATTTGCATTTTTGAAGTTAAAGTTTGGCAGGAATGTTAAGTTAGTCTTATCCTTGATGATATACTAGTATCTTTTATATCATAGTTTGTATATAAGTCGGAAAACATATTGAGTTTTGGCAGTTTAGAAATTTATAAGAATTTGATTTTGTGGTTGAGAATAAATTGCTTTGTAAGAGAATGTAACTGTTATGGACAATCATTAGGGGTTTGTGTTACACAAATTTATATTCTTACTGTCTAAAGAATATGCTTTATGCTAATTTCTAAAGTTGAAGAACTTTAAGAATCGGTTTGGTTGTGGCATAATTTTAGTTTTATATGGTTTGATGAAAAAAAAAATATAAAAAATCTCTTAATTGTATGTGTGCTAATGTTGGAAATTTAAGGTGCCACCTTTAAGAAATTGAACGATAGATGTGTGGCTGTGCCTAATAGGCTACCATTAGTGCCAACTTGATGAATATCTTCTCCTCCTCCTTTACTTTTCAGCCTTGTTCTCAAGTTTTCTGTTGCATCCAATGAAGCCATAATTAATTATTTAAATGGCACCTATCATTGTTGCATAGTTATTGCTCCATGTGATTCAAACTATGTCTTTGCATATATACTTTGGGTTATCTTAGTTGGCTTTGCATTAAAATTGTCTCTGCTTTTAATATTACCCCCTCCAACTTCTATATTCCTCTATTAGTTTAATAATGAGCATCCCAAGTTTTGCTGTGTTTTGTTATGCTTGCCTTTTCATAGTGCCACATAGCTCACATCTATTGGAATGTTCATTGTGGAATGTCTCTGTATGAGTTGTGAATTTTGATTTTTGACTTTTTGTTCGTGTATAAGAAGCCAAGTCTCTGGTACTTGTGTTTATAATGATACAGAGTACTCTTTTTCTTGACCTCTAATTCTCTTCTTTTAACCTTTTCAATCCCACTTGCCTGTTCACTGTTTTTTTCTATGCATTTTAGCCTTTGGTCTCGATTGTGCACATGTTAAGGCATTAAAATTTCCATCAAAGTGCTTTTGCTCCTTTTGAATTCATTATTTTCATGTTTTCAGGATCATAAATCCACCTTTCATTTCTTTGCAAGATGTCATCGGCTTCCAAATCTAAGTCCAAGGACAAAAAGGCAGGAAAGGAACAAAAGACTCCTTCGAAGTCTTCTGCAGCTGTAAATGGAGGTACTGGAATTCCAGCAAGTGCATATAATCCATTGCTGGGGACATTTCATACTCTTGAGGCATCATCTACATATTTGGCTCCAACACTTCATGCAAATGGTCGTTTCCGTGACATAGATGATTCCGATGATCATAGTGGGAGCACTCATGGAAGTGGAGGTGATTATGATTCTGCTTCCAATAATGACAGCCGGTCTGTGGAGTCAGAAGAACATAACAAAGATAAGACATCAAATGCTGCAATCAAACAAGAGGTAATCCCAGGCGCTGATAATGACAAGCGTGAGAAGATACGACAGAAAAATGAGAGGAAACATCAGCGTCAGAAGGAAAGGCGTGCCCAAGAATTGCATGAACGCTGCAGTGGTTATCTTATGTCCCGAAAACTGGAAGCTCTTGCTCAGCAACTTGTGGCTATGGGATTTTCTCATGAACGGGCAACTATGGCTCTTATTTTTAATGAAGGTCGAGTGGAAGAGGCTGTAGCATGGCTCTTTGAAGGAGGTGAAGATGCTGATAAGCATAAAGATCAAAATATTGATACAGGGAGCAATCTGAAGATTGATATATCTGAAGAGCTTGCTCGGATTGCAGAATTGGAAATAAAGTTTAAATGCTCAAAGCAAGATGTAGAAAGAGCCATAGTGACCTGTGAAGGTGATTTAGAGAAGGCTGAAGAGAATTTGAGATCACTAAAACCGGATCAACCAACTGTCTTGCCTAAACCTGAAGAAATTGGGGATCCTCCTACTTTTAGTAATGGTAAGATATCTGTAGCAACAAGTCAGAGCAATGTGAGACTGCTGCAACCAAAACCCAATTCGGCAACTTTGATACCCCAGAGAAGGGATGAAAAAGATTTTAATTACACTAAAGCTGCAGTTGCAGGAGTACCGGCTCCCAAATCGATGCCTAAAGTTGTTCAACCAGTTACTAGAGTTCAGCCCAAATTAGATTGGCCTAGACCTCAGCAAATCGCTACACCGGCTGAGAAAAGGTGGCCTGTAGGAGCAGGGTCAAATCCTTCAGTATCGTATTCTTTGGCACCACCGCTACAGGTTTCACCTCCACCGGCCAAGGCAGAGGCACGGTATACAACTGTTGGTAACGAATATAGGAATCTTCAGCCAGGGTCAATTAGAGAGCCTGTAGTAATGATGCAGCGGCCTCAGTCTGTAAATGTCAAACCCGCCCCTGCAACAAGCATTAGCTCTTCTCCTCCAGGTACAGCGGCTAGTTGGTATCCCACAAATTCGGAGATTTTGAAGCCGAATGGGTTACTGCCTCATATCCCTAGTACTAGAAGCCTTAGTCCAAACAACTTGACTTCGAATCAATTTTATCATCCTGCTCAATTTCAGCAGCAACAGCAACAGCAGCAGCATCAAATTCAACATCAGCATCAACATCAACATCAACATCAACATCAACATCAACATCAGCCGTTTATGCCAGGTAGTAGTCCAATGGATAATCCAGGTTCTACACGTAGCAATGCATCGTGGACCAGGATCGGTGGGTCTCCAACCCTTGCTGCTGCTTCTTCCCTGGGGCTTTTTTCCGGGGTGGGTTCAACCTGCTCATCTGGGTCAAATTCTCCGGTGGATTGGAATGCTAGTGGCACAATGCCATCATGTGACTACACTAATATAGATTGGAGCTTGGATCGAAGTTTCGCTCCCTCAAAGCAAAATGGTTTGTGGAATGGGTTGGGATCTTTCTCTAGGAGTGGAGCTCACATGTACGATTCAGGAGCCTCTGCCATGAGTATGACCATGAGACCGTCTTCTTCCAATGGGAATGGTGTACCTATTGTTGGGTTGCAGGATGGTGGAGCGGGTATGGCTGATTCATCAACTGCCAGTTCTCGGGAGTGGACATCCCCTTTTGAGGGGAAAGATCTCTTTAGTTTACCTAGACAGTTTGTATCTTCTCCCTCACTGTAGGGTTGTGCTGGGGGAGAAGTATTCTATCGTGAATAAAAGTAAACAAAAAGGAAAAAAGAAGACCCCCAGAAAATTGTGCTTGAATTTCATATGTTGGTGTTCGTTCTGATGTTGCTCTTTGGTGGTTAATTCTTAGTAAAAGAAAAAATGGCTTCTATATTTTCATTTTAGCATATTTGCGTATTGCCCTTGATTTTTTTCCTTGACGTAGGTAGGTACGAATTGAAGGAAATTGGAGCTTATAAAGGACCAAAAATATGAAATGAAGCAAGTGTAGCTACGTTATGACTTATGAGCTATTGGTCATCGAAATGGTAGGTTAGTAGACTAGTAGTTAATATGGGGTTACCTAAAAAACCATATCTCTTAACAACTTCTAATCTCATCCCTAAGACTCCCAACTGTCACAAAAAATAATTGTCATCTCCCTCCATATCGACACATTCTCTCCTGTTAATGTGATAGAAACTGCTGTGATAATCACTTTGCTAACCTGGTCTTCCTTCCGTCACTACGACTGTTGCATCACCTTGTTCCCGGGTACCAATCAACCACATTCGCTGATTTTCCCGCTCTCAAAAGCAGGTAAGTTGTAACTTTCCTCGCCGCCTTCCCTCTCCAGTGCTTTCTCATCCGCCATTTCTTCCGTCTCAGTCTCAAATGAAGATTTTGTGGCACACTGGAAAGTGACGATAACTGTGAATGTTCTACCCTAGGCTTCCAAATCTAAGCCAAAAATCAAATATCAATTAAAATTATACGAGTAATTCTGAATCCATATGTGCGTGGTCCGACTTTAGACCAATTTCACTGTGGAGATAATTTGGAAAACTAAAAGGTTTACTAGCAACAGATATAGCTAAACCACGCAAAGGAATACTGAAATAGAAATCTAATACGAGTCGCATAACATGTATGTGTGCAGTACGAATGCAATCAATGGACCTTCAACTTATTATATAATAGAACAAATTCTTGTTTCACTATTGCAAAGTAGGGAAACATATTTTGGCACACCAAGCACACCTTGTGAGAATAGCACAAAAAACTATGTTCTCACAATGGGTGGGAGAGTGAGAGATAGCTCCAGTAGTTAGAGCTTCCTTCCCGATTCTAAGAGATCATGGGATCGATTCTCACCCCCGCCTTTTGTGGCTCTCTAAACATAAAAAAAATAAAACAATGGGTGTGCCAAAATCGTTTCCCGCAAAGAAACCAAGGTTTGAATAAACACTAGAATAAAATCCAGGAAAAACGCTGCTGTATTCTAACAAGCAATTTCTAATTCAAAGATCACTATCAACATCCATTACATGACCACCAAAATAAAGATCTCAAGTTTCATTACGAGAGTGGCTGCTTATTCTGTAAGCATTGAGGCAAAATTCACTTAAATTGAAGGCGATGATCAGTCAAAGGGTTTGATAAACAATAACCATCTGAGTATCGTCAAGGCCTGACATTTACAGAAGTTCCTCAATAACTAAAACTTCTTTGACTTTCCATTAAATCCTTCCAAACCCAGCTGCTGCACAATTCCACCGCAGACCAGGTGTTTACTTCTTAGGTGCCTCTGGTGTCATATCCCCAAGATTGAGCAGAAGATCATCTGAACTCAACATCACCTTGTTTGATGAATTAGAGATTATATGAGCAATTTCCCTGGCAGCTTCGATTCTCCTCAAAGTGATGAAAGCTGGGTTGTTGGCAATAGCTTGACCAATAAGTTGAGCACTCTTGGCTTCTCCCTGTCAACCAAATACAAGAGATGTAGACAAATTAACACCAACCAAAAAAATCAGAAGAACCTAATTTATGAAATACACCATTCAACAAGAAAATAAGTTAAATGCTACTCCTATGCATCTACTGCACTAGGCCAGCTGAGATCAACTCGGAAGAGTCCCAAGTTGCTGTTGGACAAAAAGGAACTACAAAATTAAACCAAGGAAAGCACACTCATTTGACATGTTATTTCAGAATTTTCAAATGAAACTTCAGAGTCCAGACACAAAAACAGTGAACACCGTCAGATTAATGCTTCAAGCAGATTACCAGTCAACTAGTGGCTAGTAAGGATTAAAACACACAATGGAACACTTTAATATTTGGACAAACAGAGTTTTTGCAATTTTCAAACATATATAGCTCTTACCTGTGCTCTGATAATAGCACTTTTCTTGTCTTGCTCAGCCTTCTCCACAATGAACTTGGCTCTTTCAGCTTCTTGTGCAGCTACCTGCTTTGCTTCAATTGCAGCAGTGAACTCTCTACCGAAGTTAAGAGTGGTGATAGACACATCATCCAATGCAATGTTGAAGTTTGCAGCTCTTTCTGTCAATATTTTTCGAATTTCCCTACTAACAGCCTGAAAGATGATTTTAAAAAAAACACTCTTAAATCTACATAACTTGTTGCTCATCTTTCTTACAATTTAGTTGAGAACTTATGTGATAATTTTGAAGCCATTTATTAATCAATGATTACATTCACATAATATAGCAAAATCCTTGAAGATACTGAAAATAGTTTTATAAAAATGTATATTTATCAACTAGAGCAAATAGGAAATAACGAATTACCTCACGTTGAGTAAGTAACTGACTTGCGTTGTATTGGGCAACCACGGATTTCAGGGTCTCATGGACTATGGATGGCAAGACTCTTTCACTGTAATTTTCACCAAGTGTACGGTAAATTGTTGGCAAAGTATCTGGTACAGGGCGAGTAAGAACTCGAAGACCGATCTTGACCTGAAACCCACAATTATGTAGTTCAGCTAACACATGATTGATTATGAAGTGCTAAATACAACTACATGGTACAGGACTACAGGAGAAGTAAGAACTCTGAAACCATGCAGAGCTCGATGTACGAAAACCAATAGAATTAGCAGATGCGTACAAACTACGCAAAATGATAGCTATTTCTGGCACCAAATATCATGTGAAAACTATAACTCGAAAGCACAATTCACGTTTCTTTTCTATCTGCTTATACGTTTCTACTAGAACAGTGTAGGAGGCCCAAAAGATGATCAGAAAAGTAGAAGAATGTTTGCTACAGCTATAAAAGGGTTCCTTGGGGCAAAAAAGATAATTCTCTGGCAAGATAGAAATTCTCTTTCTAGCTCATGAAAAATTGAAAATGTGACAGAAGTAGACTACTGACATTGATAAACATGAGTGTGAGAAGCAACTTGGTTTACTCTTGCAACGCAAGCAATTAGGAAGATCATTATCCTTTAAATCAAACGACTAGTCACTGAATCCAATACCCCTCAAATTTTTATGTGAGTCAAGGCAGGCCCTACTTAGAGGAGAGACCATATATTAAAGATAAATCACATAGTATAGCAATTACACAATTAACATGGATGGAAAGTGGACATCTATAGCCAAGAAATGCACACATCATGTCCATACAGAAAAATGGACTATAATAAGATATTATCAAGCAATAGTCCATGCATGCACATTACAGGCATACCATAGGTAGTTACACACACACACACACTGACACACACACACACACACACAAACACACACTGACATACACACACACGGGCACGCAAGCACACGCACGCACACACACACACACCAGTAAATAAAGCATCAACTTACCATTTGGAGATCGCGACTTCCAGATGTACTTTCTACTAGGTGAGGTCGTGCACGAACATCATAAATGATTGGTCTTTCGAGCCATGGAATCATGAGATGTGTTCCTTCAGGGTAAACCTATGGGGAAAAAATATATATATATCAAATATTCAACAAATAGACAAATCTGGAAAAAACAGTTTTGTAAGAAAGACCCTAAAGTATATTAGCAATATTTTTTACCATTGCACACTATTAATCATGTGCATGAAATGGAATTGCTTCCCATGTCACTCACAAAGATATTACCTTATACAAATGTGTATCAAAAAATCAAGTCATAACCCATTTTTTTCTCAAGCAGACATAAATTTCTCACTACAGGTGTCATGCAAGATTGCAAGACATAACAAAATAAATAGTACGAGTATAATATGTAATTTTTGAAATCTATCAAGAAAAATCTTAGGCCCACAATTCACATAATTAAGAACTGTGCCGTGATACAATTAACTGCAAATAATAAGATACCATGTTTTATGTGTATAGAAAGGACACGGTACAATTAGTATAGAATAGCAACTGAATTTGGAATATAAGAAAATACAATTTAAGCAATGGTATATTCAATATTAACCTTGTTCTTGATACCAGAGATGCGGTTGAAGACAATAGCACGATGACCACCTTCAACATTGTACATACTATGAGTGATTCCATAGAGTCCAAGGCCAACAGCACCGACAACTCCGACCTTAATTAGAGCAGACGCTGCACCACCACCGCCAGGCATCTTGGGAACCTTAACATTTTGGAAATTCATTTTTCAACCTGAAAATATTAACAACCCATGCCCCGAACAATGATTAGTGATAATCATTTACAAAAGCTTCAAACTATCTCAAATAATGATTCTTTGTTGCATCAATAACACTCTGTCTAAGCAGTAAAGTAGCTGGCCCCACAAAACCCGAGCACCAAATTACACAGAAGAGGGCCATTTCACACCCTGACATAACAAGCACAAACCCATCTAACGACTAACGTACACAAAACCCGAGCACCAAATTACACAGAATAGGGCCATTTCATACCCTGGCAGAACAAGCACAAAGCCATCTATCGTATCGTATGAATCAAACCAATAGGATCAAAGTTACCATCTTTCAAATACAATAATAGCTCAGGCTGAAAATACCCAGTAACCTCAAACCTAAAGAACATCAGATTCCTTTGTTGCATCGATAACGATTAGTCTAAGCAATTCTCCTATGTAGTCAATTCCAAACACTATACAATACTATCAAAGTACACAAATGAGGGTCAATCTCCATTTCGCACCTCACTTTGAAAACACAAATCCAACAAAGTTATACTTAAATGAATAAAAACTCCATTTTTATAGCTCAGTCCTAACAGTAAAGGGTTGTATAAACAAAAGCCTGCAACACATTAGCTACAAAAACCCCAGAAAAAATTAGCTACAACCCAAAAAAAATTAGCAACAAAAACCCCAGAAAAATTAGCTACAACCCCAGAAAAATCAGCTACAAAAACCCCAGAAAGCCTAAACCTTTCAGACCTAAATCGATTAATCAAGCAAAAATGTAAGCACAATTTGATAATTGAAATCAATAATTGACAAATTGAGGGTTAAAATCGGAACAAAATGATATGAGAGAGAAAGGGGAAGAGAGAATTACTTGGATGGCGCCTGCGATTGAGTGAGAGAGAAAAGAGAGATGTGGGCGAGTGGGAAGCCTGTAATCGAGGTTTAGGGTTTTACAAGGTTGGATCGTAATGTTAATGTACCTACTCGCTTCTATTTTTTCATTTTCCTTTTTTACTTTTCTTTTCCAACAAGATAGACTCGACAATGCAATATTTGTATGATTGTTATCTAATAAATTTCTTTTCAATTAAACAATGATGTTAATGAATAATAATAATAATAATAATAATAATAATAATAATAATAATAATAATAATAATAATAATAATAATAATAATATGGATGTCAACTAAATTACTAAACAATTTTGTTACAATATTTAATTATTAATAGGGTGATGATCAAATCTTGTTTATAAATTAAAAGAATATGATAATAATAACCACAATAATAATATCGTAAAAATGTTGGAGCTTTTAAGTAGTGTAAAGGATGATAAATGGATGTTGCGGGTCTCATCTGTACTCATATCCACTTAGAATTTCTATAACTACTACTCATGGTAGGTATACATCCAATATTCACGCCCGTTCAAGTGGGTATAAATATAAATCCATGCTTACATATATCCATATATCATCTATCTACTACCAACTTACACCCAATTGAAACTATTTAGTTTTCTTTTAAAAAAAGAAACACGTAAATGATTGAGAATATAAAGTAAGGATTAGACAAATGGATGGATATGAAGAGTATCAGTGGATGGATGCAGGGTGTATTAGACGGGCATGATTTCAAATCCATCACCTACCCACCACCTAGGGCAAGCATGATTTTTTATACCTATATCCGTCCACTAACCATCAAAGTCATGCTCATACCCAGCTGCAATCTCTAAGAAGTACACATATTGTTGGTATTTAATGGGTACTCATAATGTTGAAGATATTCTAAAATGCCTAATTAGAGAGGGTACAATAACAATTGATATGTAATTTGAGCTTGTATAATCCATACTTCATATACGGAGTACCACTTATAAACTCTTTGAACTCACCAACAAGAGTTGGCTCAAGTGATAAATAGCTTGATGCCGCTTAAGAAAGAGGTCTCGAGTTCGAACCTCACCGAATGCTAAAAAAATTCTTGTTAGGAGACTCAGCTACCATAAGCCAGGTGTGCAACTCGGGTCGGATCCGAATATAGTCGGAATTAAGCTCTGATGAACCGGGTGGGACAAACTCCAAAAAAAAAAAAAAAAAAAAAAAAAAAAAAAAAAAAAAAAAAACCTCTTTGAATTCATATTAGTATATTACACATAATACTCACAATTCGTACAACATGAACATCTACTTATCTACTTGCTGATAACGTGGACCCTTCCAATGCTCACAACTCGTACAACATGAACCAACTGAATTTTATTGCAAAAAATTCATGTCTGGACTTGATGAAAGAGAAATGGCGTTGCTGAACACTTCCTTCTTCAACACCAAAACCCGCCAAATTCTTTTTCACCATCATCTTCATCATATTAAACCCTTAAATTCTGTACAATTTCCTCAATTTCCCAATACCCATTTGTCTAATCACCTCAGAAATCCCAGCTTAAGATGTTTTTCTCAAAAACAAAGCCAATCCACCCAAAAATCACTCATAAAGGAAGAAGAAGAATTGGGAAAAGGAGTTGAAAAGTATGAATTTGAGAGGTTGTTCTCAAATCTTAATCAAGCCACTTTGAAGCATGAACCTGGTTAGAATTCTAGCTTAACTTTTGCTCATTTTGATTGAAATTATAATTAAATTCTTATTTTGAAGTTTTGATTGTTTTCTTGATCAATGATCATTGCCTTTTTTAAATTCTGTTGGCAGGTAGCCTTAGCAGTTCAATCTTCCTAGTGGCAGGAACTACGGTATGCCCACCTCCTAATTTAGCTTAGTGAATAAAATTTGAGTGATTTTAGTTTAAATTATTAATATCTGGATTGAATGTGCCCACCTCCTAGTTAGAGCCTTAGAGACTTAGAGGGATTAATGCAAGTGAAAGCGGCTATGTTAGGTGCCTAGAAGAAATATCCGGTGTTACGTGTTCTGAGTTATGACTGTGGTTAGGTGTGTTTGTGGTTGGGGGGAGGGGGTCTGATAGCTGATGCTCCTTTCAAACTAGAGTTGCCTAAAATTATGGTGATGAACTGATGATAATACAGAAGCATTTGACTGCATTGTGCTTACATACATTGAAAGTGGCACTTTAATTGCTGCATACTATATTGCTTTTATATGTTCAATTGTTCCTTTTTATGGTGTACATATATGTATATATATGTGTATATATGTAATATATATATATATATATATATATATATATATATATATATATATATATATATATATATATATATATATATATATATATATATATATATGTGTGTTATATAACGTGAAATTGATATGATTTGTTGATTTCTCATTTTCACCAAGTTTGCCTTACTGTTTTGTTTAACTCATTTTTTTTTTTTCCTGAGAACTTTACAGATTGGTGCAGGGATTTTAGCAATTCCAGCTGTGACACAAGAATCAGGGTTTCTTGCCTCTGCGGTGGCGTGCATTGGTTGTTGGGTGTATATGGTAGGGGTTTGCAGCGAACTCGTTAATTTGATTGTCATGGATAGTGATCATGTACTGATGAGTGATCTAAACAATATTTTTGTACATTTGCAGGTTGCAACTGGCTTGCTAATTGCTGAAGTTAATGTAAATACAATGTGCGAGTTGGATTCTGGGGGCGTCTCTTTGGTAATTCATGCCCTATCATTATCTTTAGGATTGTTAATATTTTGAATGGACAAGAAAATACAGCTCCCTTACTTCTTTGAGAAACCTGAATTAGACCATGAATTAGTTCAACCATTTAATTTGCAAGTTTCATTTCACTCCCTCTTGTGATTATGCAACACTATCGTAACATCATAGTGATCAAATCAGATATCGTGTCTTATTCTTTTTGGAGCTCGAGCTTGGATTTGGTTTAGAACATATGCAAATGCAAAAAGGAATGTTCAATTTTGTGGTTTTAAGGAGTGTCATGCATCATTTGCTCGTTACAACAACTATCAAGTATCAACTACCACACTTTGGACATCTTTAATCAGTATATGACTTATATGTTGCTTTATCCTTCCCTCAAAATGTGACCAATACCTCTTTGCTCGTATGAAATGCTTAATGGTGTAATTATTAAAACTGCTGGCTTTCAGCAACTTTTTTTTGAAGGAAAGAATGTTGCCTGTCTCTTTCTTATGCAGACATGTTAATTAATTGGAAATTGTTTTCAGGTGTCAATGGCAAAGAGAACAGTGGGTTCAGTGGGAGTCCAAGTTGCTTGGTAAGACAATTTGTTTTGAATCTTTCATTATGATTATGTACATAAGAAACTTCTATTGTCTCCTATTTCTGAAGATATTAAAAGAGAATAAGAACTTCTTCTTGCTTTGTTCTAGGATCTTAACTTTTGACTTGTTAGAACTCACTTTACAAGGACTATTGCCCCTTGTTAATCCTTGAACCTTAAAGTTAAGACTGATTTCTGTTACTTCAATTTCAGAATGCACATCTCATTTATCTTAAAAATTTGGATGGGTAGTATAAGCAGAGCCTTCACAAAGATAGTGTTTTAGCTTAGCTCTAGAAAATAAGGGTAGGTCATAGGAGTCTATCCTCATTACATTGCTATGCAGTGATCTCTAGACAATTAGGTCTAAGTGAAAGAGTGACTGTTAAACAACCCATAACCCTCATACTACAAGAGTTTGTTTGTTGGTGTCTCTGGCATAGAACCAAACATTCAGGTTTATTGGAGAAGATGTATATGAAAAAAGGAACACAATAGAGTGAGATAGACTTCCTTGTGCTCGAGCAATTGATTTCGGTTGTATGTCCAGCAATCCAGCATGACATTGTTAATTGTGTTGTTAGCTTGTCTTGAAAATTCTCAAAATATGCTGACTGAATCTTGCAGCAAACATCTCTTCTTTTACTTTTTGAGCATTGTGGAACAATAATTTCAATTTTTATTACCTGACGCTATTCTGCTTGATGAATCTATTGAGGATTGTTGTTTATATTAACTAACGACTGTGTTTTCCTTGTACTGCAGCTGGTCATACATTTTTATACATTACGCTCTCCTTGTTGCCTACATAGCACGGTCATCAGATATATTGACAAATTACCTTGGTATTCCACTGTATGAGCTATGCTTCTAGCAATCTCCTTTCCTTTGCATTTGGTAAAGCATAGTGCATTTATTGTTGGTATTAGTTATTTTCTGAGTGCTCATCGGCAATTAAAATAATAGTGATCTTGTCATCCGTGCATGTGTGAATATTTATAGCTTCTAGTTTGCGTTGCGTTTATCCAAAGTATACATAAATGAAGTGTCAGGTAAGCTTGGGTGGGTGTGTTTTACCCGTGGCCCTGTGGGCATATCCTAGATAAGAAACGTCACTCATGGGTAGAGTTGAGTCAGTTGACAGCTTGACTTTAAGGCATCTATATGCAATTTTCTCTGCTTGTAGTTGATGATGTATTTGAGCCTTCTGTAATTCTTGATATGGTATGGACTTATTGTGTATCATTGTATCTATGTTTTACAAATACCTTTTGAACTGAATTAGCCACTGTAGCTTTGCTCATGGTTAATGGTTGCAGGCTTGGCCAGTCTGCCAGAGTTTCAGCATAGCCTAGCATCAGGCAGACATTTTGAATACTTATGGCAAACCTTCAGTTTTTTCTGGTTGCATTACACATGTGTTCTTGATAGGAACATTGCTTGCTGATTGCTACCACCTTCATTTCAATTTTTTCCTCTGCCGGTAACATTTTTAGTTTACAACTTGCAAGTGTCAATTGTCATTCACTAATTTGGGTGAAGATACATTGTCAATGAGCAATACAGCGGGTCCTGTTATGAATTGTTGCAAGTTGTAACACAATCAAAATGCATGTATTTAATGCAGAGGATCTAGTATACAGATTTTGATGAATAAAATTGTTATGACAGATGGGAAAGTGCGGGATTGTTTTCACTGGCTTTTGGAGGATTATGTTACTTTGGAAGGTATGTGTAAGCCTTTGCTCAATTTTACTGCATCCCGCTCAATATTATTGTGATAGAGCTATTTGGGCACACTCTTTTTTTACTCCCTCTGTCCTGTAACATATCCTTTTTGCATGGAATTTAATGATAGTGAAAATCAGAAACTGGAATAGAAAAAAATGTGAGTGGGGTATGTGGGCCCAACTTAGGTTTTTTGCGGGACATCCCAAAACAGAATATGAACTTTACTCAGGAATGGAAGGAACATAATTTCCTTTATCAACCAGTTCTGGTTTTTTCATTTCCGTTTTGCCATGTGCTTACTTTTTTAGTTCACTGAAGATGCTCCTTCATGTTTTGTGAGATGATAGTTATTTATTTCTTGTATCATTTATTCCTTCTGTCTTTCTTTAATGCTGCATCATAAGAGTTGAGATATTGATTTTGAAACATAGTGACAAAAACAGTGGTACTCGTAACTCTATTTCTCTGTTACTCGTATTTGATAAGCTTAGTACTATTACAGTGTGAGATTATTCTGCCAAGATGAAATTTGTTTTTACTTTTATCTCGCAGCCAACGTATCATTGGTGCTGTTAATGGACTGTTAGTGTTGGGGATCATTACTGCATTTACAGCTTTAGTGGTGAGACTTCCTATGTATGTGCCGAGTGACCCTTCTCCCATTCCCCCTCTTCCTTCTTTATCTATTTAAGTTTATTCTTTTTAATATGAAGTGTGCTAGAGCTGCTTCATATTGGCCACATTTGTACTAGGTGGAACCATAAATTTTTGTGCGACCAGCTTTTCACTTTAATAGAATATGATTTCGTTATCTCCAGGTTGTCGCTAGTGCAGACCTACATCTTGATGCTCTTTTGAAGGCCAATTTTGAAGCTGTGCCTTCAAGTATACCTGTCATAGCACTTGCGTATGTCTATCATGTAAGTAAGCTAATCCCTATGCCCCTTAAAGTGTGTGTGTGTCTCCTGTCTCGTTCTTTTTTTCTTGTCTAACTTTACTAATCAATCATTAATTATTTTCAATATATAATTTAAATAATATTTATTGAAGGTAAATCTGATACAAATCTCACAATTTGTTTTAGCTCATTAATTTTGTTTATGAAGCACGTCTTTTCTTTGGTTTGTTCAGAACGTGGTTCCTGTCCTTTGCACAAACTTGGAGGGTGACCTGTCAAAAGTAAGGTGAATCTTTGATTAGCATTCTTATCATTGCTGCACTAGTGTTTTGCCCGGACGATGCCCCGGGTCACACGTTATATATTATTGTACAACAACTTTTTGGTGCTACAGGCCACACCTTATAGCAGGGGTTATCCGAGTTATTTTGTTAGGGGTTACCCGAGTTTACTCGAGTTACTCGGTCAGGGGTTACTTGAGAGGTTTGGACAGAGGTTACTTGAGGGGTTCACTCGGTCAAGGGTTACTTGAGGGGTTACTCGAGTTACTCGGTCAAAGGTTACTCGAGTTACTCGGTTAGGGGTTACTTGAGAGGTTACTCGGTCTAGGTTACTCGAGTTACTCAGTCGAGTAGGAGTTATTTAAGGAGTTGGGTCAGGGGTTACTCGAGTAATTCGGTCAGGGGTTACTTAAGGAGTTCGGTCAGGGGTTACTTTAGGGTTCAGTCAGGGGTTACTTGAGTGGTTACTCAGTCAGGGTTTACTTAGTCAGGTGTTACTCGGTCAGGGTACTCGAGGGGTTCGGTCATGGGTTACTCGAGGGGTTACTTGAGTGGTTACTCGGTGAGGAATAACTCAAGTCACCCCTGACCGAGTAACTCGAGTAACCCCGACAACTCGAGTAACCCGTGATTGAGAACTTGAGTAACCCCTGCCGCACGGTACAGCAGGCCGCATACAAAAATTGTGTTTATTGTATTATAATTTTCATGTATTATACTTATGTAGATGAATTTGACAGTCCTTTTGTCCCCATGAAGTATGAGGTAATAGTTGCATTGAATACTCATTGAGTTTATTCTTTGAGTATCTTTTTACTTATGCTTTTCACTTATATATAGTAAGTTTTTTTTACATATTGATAATGTGGTTGATAATTGGCTTACATCATTAAAATAGTCATCTTTGTTATAAGAGGTTGGGTGTTCGAATCTTCTTAACCTTATGTTTTTATATGGAGCAATAATGGTTTCTTCGGTGACATGTGACGTGGCGTAATGGTTAAGATTGTTAAAGGTGATGTGGCGTCATGTTGGGAAGCTGACGTGGCGTAATTAAAAAGGGCCTATGTGGCACATCAACGTTCTTAGGAACGCCTTTTAATATATTAGTATAGATTTCCTTATCTTAGGACAATTAACGCCTTTTAATATATTAGTATAGATTTCATTATCTTAGGACAATTAGTGAAGTACAATTATTTGCATTGTGGTGTTATCTAGACCAAATGCTAGAGTCAATATAGACAAAGAAATGGCTAAACTCTGTAGTATTTCTGCCATACAAAATTAGCTGTGTTATGTTGTTCCAACCATTCATAATCCCGGAAATGACTTTCTTTTTACAGAAGACCCTTTATAATAGATGGACCATTCCTATCCTCTCTTCATCATTGGCACATTAAGAAATGTTTTCATAAAGGTTATTGCACCAATTGATAGTATGCTTTAACATATTGTTGATCAAAGACAGGTAATGATCATGAATATGACTGTTTAATCCTCTTGCATGGTACTGAAGTGAACATACTTTGTCAAGCTTTACATATAAGCAGCATAATCTGATACTCCAGCTTGCCATATGATTTTATGACAACTTAAGCTCTTGTTTCTGGTATATTCTGAGAATAAACTAAATCTGTTCTCTTGCAGGACAGCAGTTGTCGTAGGAACCGCTATTCCCCTGCTTCTATTTCTTGTTTGGAATGGAGTAATTCTTGGTACATTCACTAATCTAGATTCAGATGTTGGGAAGATTCTTGATCCATTACAAGAACTGAGATCAAGCAATGGAGTTGTTGGGGTAATTGTATTTTGAGTTTTCTTTATAGTTTTGGTGTTGTTGACTCTGTGGAAGCAGATTGACCAACTACACATTGCTTCTGTTTTTTGGAATTTCTGGAATGCAGCCAATAGTCGATACCTTTTCAATTTTTGCTATTGGAACATCATACATTGGATTTGTTCTGGGACTTGCCGACTTTTTAGCTGATTGTAAGCACTTCTCCTTTTCCTGCTATAGAATCGTTTATGATACTTGCATTGTTGTTATGGCTGTATTATATAATTCGCATTGGCTGAAGATTTTTATTTTGCAAATTAAGATTTTTGTGAAAATGGTACGACAGTTTCAAGAAACTTGTAGTAATTATATTGGTTTTGTCTTCATTTTCTCTGGCACACATACAATACTGAGGTTTGTTTTCTTCTGTTCTTGTGGAAGAAAGAGCAAATTTTAGAAATTTATGTTCCAATTTGTTGAAATATGAAAAGTTGATATCTATGCATCTTTTGATTGGTACCTAATTGAAGACTGAGGTTTCCCAATCGTTCTTGCAGTGCTGAAACTCCCAGCTGGACAAAGCAAACCACTTCCATATTTGATTACTTTGCTCCCACCATTGGTGCTTGCACTGTTAGACCCCGAAATTTTTTTCAAGGCTTTGGATTTTGCTGGAACATATGGTGGTAAGCATATGTCTTGCGTCTTTCAGATGTCCGATTACGTAAATTCTAGTATGATTACTCCTGCCATCTCTAGACTATAAGCCACATTTGTTTCGGGGAGCATTTTTAACAAACGGATTACTGATACCATATATATCCACTATCCAAAGTTTTATGTCTCCTTCCCATTGTTGCCTTTGGAATTATAGTCAGGGGTGTCATTGAAGGTAATATGGGAAAAGTCTAATAGAAGTACACGTTTCTATTATACTACAATGTATATTTGAAATTTTTGCTTATATTTTTTGGATGGTCTTAAATAGAATAGTGGCCTATTATCTAGGGATGAAGAGTATATATGTCTAGTTGTTAACAATTTCTGTAATCTTGCAGTATTGATGCTTTTCGGAATTCTTCCCGCAGCAATGTCTTGGTCAGACCGATACTTGACTTCGCCAGAGCTCCCAAAAGTGCCCCAGCAGGTTCCCGGAGGAAAAGTTACACTTTTCCTAGTGATGGGTGGCGCTGCATGGGTCATTTCATCAGAATTATTGAACACTTTCAATCACTCGAGAAGTTTGTGATATGCTCCAATAAAAGAAGGCGCGGACGGAAATTGAAACAAAAGGCTTTGAGACTTAGGCTAGAATAACAAGAAGCTGTTTGAAGTAGAGGATGTTTAGAACTCAGATTGTCCGTCAGTAAAAACTGCACATACTAAACCTTCATCAGTATCGACATATAATTAACGAACATTTTACCATTATACTCCGTAATAATCATGTTAATTAAGGTTAATATTTCTGCAATAATGTTTAGCTCTTTGAGCCTGTTGGTATGCACAATTTTCATTTCAATGAAATGGTGGATATATTTGATGTAAATTAAAGGAAAATTGAGGTTTATAATATCATCAATTTAACTTGTTTGTTATACTTATTTTCTAATGTTTTAATTAGGAACTTTTACACTAAACTTTTATAAAAATGAAGATGAAAAACAAAAAATTACATCAGCACAGTACCAACAAAATTTGTTACAACGATCAAAACAATATTCTTTGACATTATTTTACTCCGTATATTCCTCATTATACAACGGTGAGTGAAATTTGTTACAATTATTAATCTAGAGGAATTTATGTTACATTGTTAAATTTAAAAGGCATAGCCTTCATAAATCTTTTTCTTAGTGAAGATATATCCAGGTTTATGTCAAGAAAAGTAACGAATTGAGATTTTTTTTCTAAAAGGTAAATTAAGATAATTTGCAATCAATGTAGTTCCTAATCCAACAAATTATCAAAATCTCATCTTATCTCATGTTATCAACCTACAGCTGGCAAACAATCAAAGAATTTCACAATCATGATTCATGATTTCACCAGCTATTCAATAATTGCATGATGAAAAAAAAAATAATAATAATAATGTCGAAAGAAAATCAACTAAGAAATTTTTCTTTTTTTTTTTTTTGGAAAGAAATACATTGATAAGTCTTCTCTCAACACTGAACCCTACATATTACAATCATCTTGGATGCACATTTCCCTGCGCTAAGGATATGACAGAAGAGAAGCATAGGGAATGCCAAGGGGACTCAAAGAGTACTAACAGTCCATAAAAAACACTGCTCGGTCGCTTTGTAGCCAGTTGCATGCAACACTAACAATAACTAGAAGCACATGAAAGCATGCCCTACTTCAGGGTAGATTTTGTACATGGACATCTCTTTAAGTTTGTAGCCAAACATACACAGCCGTCTCAGTCACCAAAATAAAGTCCCTATCAATGATGAACTGGAGTAAAGCTGAACGTAAACTTTAGGGTAGATTTTGTACATGGCCGTCTCACTCACCAAAATACTTCCTCTGCCAAAAAGCCAACTTATGGCTTTCAATGGTTCCCAATGCTAACTTGACATACTCCATACGGAAAGTTTTGATCCTATGCCCTTCCCTCCAATGTGCGTCAACTCAATAATCATGTTCTAGAATTGATTCTCAGACTGATCCTAAAAGGGATGGGATTCATATGCTGATACATTACTAGGATAGAATATTCCTACCAGCTTAAGGTGGCTGTCAAACCACCAAAATAACGCATACAACAGTGTATGATCAAGATGAGCTTTCATGAAACTCTCATAATGAAACAACCATAAAGAGGCTTCGGTAATGGAGACCTCAGCTAAGTTCTCATTGGAAAACATAGGGACAAGGGAAACTGAGAGAAAATACTCTGCTACAGAAACAGATGGCACCAGCAAAAGTAACTTGATAATACATATGAACTTATCTACATGAGGAATTACCCCCAGAAATAGAAAATATTTGTAGGAAAAAAAAAAGGCAGAAACCTGTGAAATTCTTGGAACCAAGACCAAAACATTGTCATTGTCTGAGGCAGCTTTGTTCCGTTTCAACATATTTACGAAATTTCAGTTAAAATAGCCAAATTGATCCCCAAGGCATGCAAGCAAAGACAGCAAGTAATTCAAGCAATGCTGATTACACACATACATAACCTAGTAGTCAAAAGGCCAGCCGCTGTAATTCATCTCATGATTCTCATGAGTTGTTGGAGGTGGGGGCGGTGGGGGAGGGGAGGGGTTGCTTGCGCTAGTTGGAACATACTCACGGGTGCTGCTACTGTTTGATGAACGAAAAGGCCACAGGAAAGAGAATGGATTCCTCCTGCTTGTATTCTGGTCACTGCTTCCTCTCTCTCTTGAGTTGTTACTAGAACTTCTTCTGCTCACACTACCAGAGCTTTGTCTGCCACTTGAAGTACTTGAGCCTAACTCATGGCGACAAACAGGGCATGAGTTGTGCTGGACCAGCCATGGGACAATGCAATCAGAATGGTACATGTGATTGCAAGGCATTTGCCTAGCTTCAGTGCCCAACTCAAATTGATCTTTACAAACAGGGCAATGTGAATCAGTCTGGATATGTGCCCGAGTGATCTTGACTATGGGCATTGCATCAATTGCCGTTCGAGGGGCTGGTGGTGGCCCCTGCCTGTCAACCATTAGCTGCTCGATCAATTCTTGAAGGCCAGGCCCCACAAACAGATCACCATTATTTCCCCGGCTTAATCCAATTCCCGGGTTTCCATTGAAGAACATCTCAAACCCACCACTTCTAGGCATTGGCATCCTTCCGGGCATTTGCCCTTGAAAAATCAACCAAGGGCTACGATCAGCATCTAAACCATATCTCCTCCTTTGCCCCATAAATGCATCCAAAGCTTCAATTAACCCTAACCTATGCTCGGGATTATTCCGGATCATCAAAGAGTCTAAAGCTTCCATAATTCCATGTAATTGATCAGGACCATCTCTCATTCCATATGGATTAGTAGTAGCGGTAGTAGTATATCCACCAGGACCAGGACCACCACCTAACTCCTCTAACTCTTGCACAAACCCTCCATCACAATAAGGGCAAATCGTGCCTCGGCTTCGAGGGCGAATTGGCTGCCTGCATTGATAACACCAGTGTGTATTTCCACCACTCGACATCTTAAAAACAATCCCTCTCCTTTCACTTCTTTCCCCTTGATCAATATCTCTCCTCTCAAATATCCCCAAAATCTATTAACTTCAACAACCAAGAATCACCCTGCATCAGAATTTGTAACTCTAAGGTTCAATCATAATTTTCAAACAAATTCATTAAAACAAATTGCAAATTTTATCAGGAAGATGAAATTCACACTTCAGTTACAAATGTTACACCAAGGTCACCAAACAAAATCCCAAATTCCCAATTCAATTTACAAACAATCACTTCATTTTAAAACCAAATTCAACAATTCAATCATCCATAAAATGACCAAAATCAAGAGTAAGATCTGAAATTGACCAAAATCATAAAATGAAAAGCAGATTCAAAGAACAAAATCAATCTAATCATGCAAATTAATAAATGCTCAAAACACAAAACCCACATCAAATTAACCCAATTAAACAACAAGATGCTGACAAAAATATCAAGTTTAAAATTAAAAAACATAACTTTACATAAAACCCATTAATAATAACCAAAAATAAATCACTCCCAGATTAAAAAAATCCAAACCCATCAAAGAAAAATAAATAATAATGATGAGAGAGGAAGAGTGATTTACCAGAGACAACCATGGAAACTGAAGTGACGAGAGGAGAGAAAGAGTGTTTTTTGCAAAATGTGTTTTTTAAGAGAGAGAAAATAAAGTTTTAGAGAGAGAAAGAGGAGAACAAGAAATTCTAGAATCTGATAAGAGCCATTGGAAATTAATTTTGATAGATGATTGATGGGGTTGGTTGGGTGAAAACGCTATAATGCGCTAGGGTGCGCACTACGCCTACTTTTAGAAAACGCTAATAATGAGGTCAGCGATTTTGGACTGTGGAAATTATCGTGCCTTTGCCTTGTCTCGTGGGTTATCTTTGTTTTTTCCACGCACTTTTATTTTTGTTGATAAATATTGACTTATAATGACTTTGTATAATTATTACAGAAAACTGTACTTTACACCAGAAAAACTAGGTTAAACCCGACGATTTTTAACTCTATATGTTACTGGGTATCAATTTTAAATTATAGTTAAATATAAAAAATAATTTGGTCCAAAATTTATTTCTTATTTCATCCCACATCAAGCAACTTAAAATATTTTTTTTTTATCTTTGATGACTACTACATACTATATTTGTTTATTACATATAATTTTTATTCAAACTTTCTTCTATCTTGAACCCTGATGGCATATTTATTTCTATTTTTCTTATTTCACATTTGATAATTTTTCATTCCAATTATGTTAAGTTGAAAGATATATATTCATAATATTTTTACTATAAATAATTATTATACATTAAAAATTAATTATATAAAGATATCCAAAATTTTAAAAGAAAATATTTTGTTAATATTTTCTATCAATTTTTTTAAAAGTTTTATTTTTAAAAAAAAATATACTAAGGACACACCAGAATATGTGTCATTGCGGGTGTGTCTTTTAGTATATAGTTATTATGAATTTATGATTGATTGATGATTACTGTAAAAGATTTTTTTTTAATGAATTTTTTTGGATGATTTTCTCAATTTTTTTTTTACAAGTTTGTCATATGTTATGTTTTTTGTTTTTTTAGGATAATTTTTTCCCATAAAAAATAAGAAAAAGTTTTCGCCTACACCTTTTGAATTTAAAATAAGAAAAGTTAAGTCAAAGTATTTTAAATTTGACTATTTTTTAAGATGAAACAATTAAGAGATAAGAGAGTATTAAATTATACGATTTATGAGCATATAATATTGACAAAATTATGTAGACCTCGAATCATAATGTAAGTAATCGTTATGACTCACTTACAATCAATACCGTGTAATCAATAATCTTCCACCTAAACTAAGTTTAGCTAGATTAAACAAGATGTTGGTCATTTTTTATCATACATTTATAATTTCATACACATGTACACATCGAATCTTAATCTATCAATCGTCATGACATGCTTATAGTCAATACCGTGCATAGCACTTATTTTTTAATGATAAAATATTATTATAACACGTAACAACAATCAACTTGTACTTCTGATATTCTACAACGCATTATTAATAAGAAAATCAATTTAAACTTGTCATTGATATTTACAAGAAAATGAACCTCGTATATTGTTAGTTATTGGCTTATTAAATTACATTTGAAAAGGTCAAAAGTAAAGGTCTTTTTCGTTACATAGTCCGCATTATTTTAAAGAATGCCGTAGTCATGTTACTTTCATAAATGATAGCTTGGAAAAAACAAGAAAAACACCGAATTTAGGTTCACCAAACCCCCAAACGTAGGAGAAGAACAAAATACTCCGTACATACTTGCACCGGACTCAGAACAAGCTTAATGACTGATATAATCTCCAGATTGGCAGCACATCGGTAGCCAGAATACTAACAAAGAATCCGATTTGATAAAAACTGTTATCGTTAAAATAAATCTCAGAGTTTTACAGCCCCACTCATCCCTCGAACCATACACACCACCTATAAGACAATGCAACGAAAACAAAATCTTTAGAGACAAACTAAAGCATCCCAGATTAAGAACTACTTAAACCCGGAATTGAGCTATACTATGTAGTCCTCTTAAATCTTGTTGAAGGCAACAATATCACAGCTCTGGATGTATTCGTTTCTTGGCTCGGCTGTGAGGTAGTCTTCGATGAGGTTGTCGACGGAAACAAGGTCGTCAACAATGGTCATCATGATTGTCATCTTCTTAATACCGTAACCAACTGGGACCAATTTGGCTGCAGGAAAATCATGGGACATTTAGCTCATCATATAAAAATGCAAAGTCGAAATTTGTAAAAGGTGAGAATGGAGATAGATAGGATCATACATGCTCCCCATGTGAGACCTTCCATCTGGACACTGCGAACAGCCTCTTCAAGCTTCTGCATGTCGGTTTCATCATCCCATGGCTTCACATCAAGAAGAATGGAAGATTTTCCACCTAATTACAAAGGTAGAATAGTCAGAGACAAAAAAGTTTCAAGGGCTGCAAATGAGTGCACATCCATATGAAGAATTATTATCTCAGATTACACAAAGCACATATAACAATGAAATAAAAATTTCCCCATCTCCAAAGGAAAGAAGACTATAGTTCTTCGATAAAAATCTCAAGAAGGGTATTACTTTGGCGATGGTTCGTGCATAAGACCCATTATCCAGGTGTAACGCTCGAAATTCAACGCTTGACGGAAAATGATAGAATGCACATAATGCCTCTCTTACACAATAAACTTCAATTGAAATTGAGATCACAGTGCTTTCAGATTAAAAGTATGATCAACCATCCTCCAAATTGTGAATTATAATCTAAGATAACACACAAAGCACATACAACAGTTAAAATAAACAATTTCCCCATCTCCAAAGTAAAAGAGGACTATAGTTCTTCCGCTATAGCTATAAATCTCTGGAGAAGGGTATTTCTTTGGCGCTGGTTCATGCATAAGACCCATTATCCAGGTGTAACGCTCGAAATTCAACGCTTGACAGACAATGCTATAAAACAGTATTTCTCTTCCGCAACTAGATTCAATTGATATCCGATCACAGTATTTCCAAATAAAAAGTTTGATGAACCAACCTCTGTGTTATGAAGCATTATCTACAGATTATTTCCACGTATATATGACATTAAAACAAACAATTTTCCCATCTCCAAAGGGAAAGACTATAGTACTTACGCTATAGGATAAAAAGTCTCTGGAGAAGGATATTACTTTAGCGTTAGTTCATGCATAACACCCATTATCCAGGTGTAATGCTCGAAAATTTAACGCAGACAGAATGCACATAAGTTGTCTCTTCAGCAATTTCACTCAACCGACATTGAGATCACATAAATTTCAGAATAATATCTTTGACTAGCTCAGCCCACCCAAAGCAAAGAAAACTAAGAAAATTTAGGCATAATTAAAAACACAAATCTTACTTTCTTTCTTCTTTCCAGATGCCTTCTTAGCTGCCTCTCTCTCTTCTGCAGCCTTCTTCTCTTCCTCGGTCTCATCACCAAAGAGATCCATATCATCGTCATCATCTTCAGCAGTTGCTTCCTGCAAATTTACAAAAAAAAATTGCATAAGAGAACCATAATACTATCAAACAGTGACAGAAGGAGAAGAAAAGTCATAGGCCATATTAAAAAACAAATGTTTTAAAAAATAAATTGACATTGAGATCGTAGCACTTTCAGATCATCTTATAAACAATATTAATTCAAGCCATTTTTTTACTTTCTTCTATTACATACAGAATTACTACAAAATCATATGTTCAATCTCATTCGTATTGCTCATTTGTTATTATTTGAGTTCTGTAAATCATAAAGGACCTTTAATTAGTGACTAATTGAATATCACTGGATTTTGATCAGTAAACAGTAAATTATACAAAGTTATTTGTTTTGTCAACAGCCTTAGCAAGTGTAATCAGTACCATTTCTAACCTTAGTTCATCACAAGTTACAACCATCTTTGTATCAGAAGACAACTAAAGAAGCGCAATTAAATATAAGAACAAACCTTCTTTTCCTCAGCAGGAGCAGATGCAGCTGGAGCTCCCTGGGAAGAAAATCTCACACCGGCAGCTTGGCCAGGGAAACTGTCATCATAATGAAAAAATAATAACTGATCAGATGTTGAACCACTCTTAAGAGCTCCAAAAGAACAAAAAAAATATTGGAGAATTTCTATTCTAGACGAAACAAACTGACAAAATAAAATTATCTCTACCGCAAAAGGATGGGCAAGCAGGGTAAAATTTCAGATTTACACCTCCCAACATAACAAGCCACTGACTACTTAAAACTCGTTAAATTTTGGATCTACCCATACAACCATACTACCTCCATGATTGAAATGTAAAACTCAAATTAGTGATGGATACTTGTGGGATAATAACCCAGTTCAATTTAAGTGATCTCAAATCATATGTGTCCTATAAATCAAGGACAAAGAGAGTATAGATGCTTTAATATCGTGATGCATTTTCGTAACGGGTTGCTGACAGGAAAAATCATTATAACAACTTGACATGGAAAAATGCGGGGGAAAATCTATAAAAAAAAAATCCTCATTTGACAATTTTGTTGTCAGATGAAACTCCAAAAGGCACATATATGTAATAAACCTCTCAAGGATCTCTAGCTGCGGCAAATGAAATACGACTTCTAATGATCTTGACAATAAATCCCAACAAAAGACAACAAAATAAGCTCTAATTGTTGGTTAAATAACTCAAGGACCATCTCCTATTTTCTGTACATGGATAAAAATTGAATATTTAAATCATCATTCAAGAGCAGCAATTCTTAGTTATCTTAATTACCACACAACCTAATGCAGGAACCTTATAGGCACTTGTAAATCTTAGGCCTAAACCGAACTTAGATTGCTGCTGTTAAACAGCTTCCACACATCCAGGTATTATCATCACCGATAAGTGGTTGACAAATCCTAAAGCTAAAAGTGAATTAGGAAAGATTGGGAAGTGGTGAAAATCAGTCACAAACCTTGCGGCGAGCTGTTGGGAAACGCTTTCGTACCACTTGCTTGCATTTGGGAAAGAATCACTTGGCTTCTCCAATACTGCAGAGTACACCTTGATGTCATCCTTGGTCAGCTCATCCCTTTACAATAGTAATGAAGTTTACAAACATAAGTCCAATGAATAGAAATTTAGAAAAAATAAATAGGGGCAGTACTCTTCCAATCCAAAATATAATCG